GATATTACAATGTAAACTGGTTATGTACATATTTTGAGATTTGACAAGTGACAGTCCGGGGCAATTTATATGCTCATTTATTCGCATCTGTACAAGTCTTAATGTTCACCAAACAAGACAACATAATTTTATGTATCTTTCAATACCGTGTAAATGTTTGAATTTGCATGTTCCAAATAAAGTTTCAATACATGAAAATACCATGTTCAAGCGCATTTTAGTTGCAAACTTGTAGGTCACGCATTTATGGTTGCAAACTTATTTTTTCTGTCAAATATTAAACTGCATAAGGATTCTTGATTTGTCACAGGTATTCCTTGAAAAAATTATAAATGCAAATGTGTTTTTGTTTCACTTGCTTTTAAAAATGTTTTAAATGGCGTTGACATTTATAGGGGTTTCTTTATTTAGTTGTCAATTGTTATTATTTACTGGTGCGACCACTCCATATCCCGACTCTTGTGCCCTCTCCTGCCCAATAACACGTATTTGTATATAAATCCGTGCCAATAACAAGACCACTATGAAAACACTTAATTATTAACAATTTTAGTAATAAACTACACATAATCTAAAAAAGTTTAGTACAGTAAACTCCGCTTATAACGATATTCAGGGGACATACAAAACTATATCGATATATCCGAATATCGTTACAACCGAATTTCTGTACGGTGTGTAGCTTACTGACGATGCACTGCATCGTTCAACATGTATATTGTATAAGCAGTAGCATTATATACTAGACATGTGACAATCATGTACTTACGACAAAACTTTATTCTTTTTATGCATATCAATGTTGAATGCATAAAAAATCAGTTGCACATCAAAATAAACACAAAACTGACATAAACCGAAAGTAATATGTACACAGGTACTGGTAACCTTACATTGGGACAACATTCTCATCGGCATTTATGTAATAATCAAAAGAAATGTTTTTGTCTATGTCACTGAATACTCTAAGGCGATTCCATTTCGATGCCAATTCAGCCAGCGGAATGTCATCGTCCTCGAACTGGTCTGTGTCAGACGAATCGGAAACATGCCCCTGCGGGGTCGCGTTAATTTCATGCTGTGCTTGATTCATAAATCCAGCCTTTCTAAAACAATTCTGGATACACGTCGGTGTTACATCTTTCCATGCCGCATAAAACCATTGTATGGCTTTTAGAATGTTAATCTGTTTATCGATATGTTTGTCTAGACATGAAATAATATGGTCAAGGACACGTGACCTGTATTGCCTTTTGAATGAAAAGATAATCCCTTGATCACAGGGCTGTAACTTAGATGTAGTGTTAGGTGGGAAAAACAACAGTTTTACAGCTTTTAATCCCTCGATTTTCGGATGGGCCGGGCAATTATCAACAAACAATAGAATAGATCTTTTCTCACGTGTCATACGTTTGTCAAGTTTTTTCACCCAACTGATAATATTTCTGAGTTCATCCAAGCACGACGATTAGCTTCGTAATCTACGGCAAACTTTTAAACATTTTTAAAACATCACTAGGATTTTTGAATTTTCCGATTATCAAAAGTTTAAGTTTATCAGAACCGTCCATATTTGCGCCGATAAGCACTGTGATTCTGTCCTTGCTTTGTTTGCCTCCAAAACATTTTGTTCCTTTTACCTCTAGTGTTTTATCTGGGGTCATTTTATAAAAAACGCCAGTTTCATCGATATTGTAGACATTTTTTGGTTCATAGTCCTTGATCAAACTTGGAAGTTTTGACTGCATCCAATTTTCAGTTTGTGAATTATCGACGGAAGCACCTTCGACGGATAATGTTTTGCTCGATATGCCATAACGATTTTTGAATCTTTCAATAAATCCGTTTGTTGCCTGAAAACAGCGCCATTTCAATGTCTCTATTACTGGCATGACGCATTCGTTTACGGGCTGGGCTGAACGACGTAGTCTCGTATGCATTGATGACAGAATCTTTATTTTTCCAGATTGAACTTAATGTGTTTTGTTTAATTCCAAAATCGTTTGCAATGTCCTGTTTTTTACGTTTACCAAGATTAATCTCTTGAATTAATTTATATTTAGTTTCAATATCCAAAATTTTTCTTTTTCGTTTGTCTGACATGTTCACTGTTTTAGCTACATGTACATGTACAACTTATTTACAACGAAAATTGTTATTGAAAGGAAACAATAAAAGGACAAAACCATGCTTTTATTTTTTGAGATGAATTCACCTGTATTGAGAACAAAACGGTAGTTACGTACGCACAGAACATGTTCCGCGTCATTGTATTTAATCGAGCAGATATTTATGCATTAAAATAAGCGGACCGAGACCGCTCTTCCACAACAAACTTGTGCAGCTAATGCCGGCTCGCCACGGCGAGCCGGTATTACGTTAGGATTTTACTGAGAAACAACCTAAAACTCCGAATCCATCCAAAAATTTAATCGAAGCTTGGCTTCCAGCTTTCTATAAAAATTTATCTATTGGGGCTAGGATCCAAAATTATTTAGCCAATCAAATTTAATCTTACATAGCGTCAAAAAACCTTCAATTTTCACGCCATATTTAAAAAGCAGCAAGTATTGTTTTGAGCGCAAAGATATTATGATGATTAAAAATGTTTGTTTTCATGAATTCTTTTCAATAAATCATATCAACACTGACTTTTGATTTAGCGATTTCACCTGTTTTCTCTGTAGTAAGTTTTCGTTTGGTTTATTAACATAAGTGTACATCAGGTTCTGTGCATTTTTTTCTTTTTCCTTTTATCCGGTCATTATATCCTTTCCGGTATTTAGTGTATATATTTGCTGGCCGGGATCCGGGACGACCGGACTGGCCGGGATCCGGGATCGTATAAGATATAGAGGAAAAACTTATAAACTATATTTGTGTTGATTATTGTCGTAATGAAAGGCCATTAAACGTTAAGTTTTTTTATTGTATGTAATGAACGTTAAATTAATTAAACTTTGGATATAAATATATTTAGAGCTATTTATCAACAAACTTAAAAATCACAATACTTATAATTATATGCCTAATTAATTGGAAAACTCAAAGACTACATTCTTGAATTGGTCAAATCCCGGGATCCCTTTATGTTTTAATGCGATCCCAGCTTTTCTGAAAACTATATTCTTGAACTGGCCAATTCCTTGGATCCCTATATGTTTTAATAGGATCCCGGCTTATCTGAAAAGCATCTAAGACTGGTTAATTCCCGGGATCCCTATATTTTTAATAGGATCCCGGCTTTTCTGGCTGAATTAATTGACAACTTGTGTTTACTTTAGGACTTGTGTCTGTCACTCATTCCAATACTAAATATCATATTACAACTTAACTTCGTATAAAGAGACATCTTTATGAATTCTACCTATCTAACATTTATTTGGTCAAGGTCAAAAGGCCATATAGTAAATGTGCATAGACATAGGGACTTCATTCTATCTGTTACATGCATCTTCATATATACTCATATTCCTCTTTGTTAAACTGAGTGAAACTGGCTTCCATAACTTTATGTCACTTTTATTTTGATGTTCGCTGAAGTCTCTTCAGCTAACAGAACTGTCATTTTTACATTTAAACGCACCCCTGGAAAAAAATTACGAAGCGAGTCGCTACTAGCTTTTTTAAAAGCTAACCTTGTTATCGTTTTAAGAGGTAATATATGTGCGTTGCGGTTGAAAATCCACATCGATATATCCGAAATATCGATACATGCGATATCGATATATGCGAGGATGCTTCCGTTAGGTTATAATGGAAGTTGGCAGGGACCAAGACAAACGTATCGATATAACCGATATATCATTACAAGCGATATCGATACAGTTGGAGTTTACTTAGTAAACAAAAAATATCTAATGTAAAATTCTGTTGTTGTGAGGGTAATACGACATTATACATGTACTTTAAGCAGCATTACATTTTTTTTCAGGAATATGTTTACTTCTTTAAATCATTCGTGAGAAAGACAACCTGATTGCCGTTTTGAAGGTCACTTTTGTGTTTTCGTCAAATAAATATGTACATTTAACACATTTAAAACATTTTGTTTTCATATTCTGTATACAGGTCTAAGACATTTGTCAAACTACAAGTGTCGTATAACAATAGAAGGAAGCTGGTAAAATAAAATTTAGCTACTTTTAAATAGATAACCGCCGTTGCTTTAGTGCTTCATTCACGAATTCGGCGTTACCTCGTAAAAATGGCATCAATTACGTCTTATCTGCTAAATTAAGTGTAATATGACAGGAATAGATTGGAAAATGTCTCAGGTACATTGGATATAAAAACATAATTAAAAGATTGTATTGTTAACAAAATGATCAAATTGAAAATCTGCGCTGGGGGCCATAACTTCATGTTACTTATATTAAGAAACATTGTTATAGTCCTTGTCGAATTATTTAAAAAAAAGTGTTGATATAATTGAACTATGACTAGTCAAACTAAGAAAATTATTTTTATAATCATACTGTGGCGAATCGTTATTTAACTATGGCGAATCGTTACTGTTGCAAATCGTTATATTAATTCGTTGTGAGGTATTGCAAATAAGATTCATGTTTTAAGAATGTCTCGGAATCATATACCTTGCAGCAATTCAAAATGGCGAGTTTTTTCTCAGTGAGAAAGGGTGATTCATAATGGCTGAGCTTAAGAGCCAATCAAAATTCCCCAATCTCATTATGAATTTTCCGAATTTTCTCATAAAGGCCGCACATTTTGCATAATGGCATTGTTTTATGTTCATCGTGTCGTGGTGAACTTCATATTAGCCTTACATTAGAAGTGAAAACGTGCCTAATATTGAAAAAAATAATTAATTATTGATTATAATGTCCGTAGTTTGACGTAAATTGTCGTGAACTTGGCACCAGTAGGTAATCGCAAACTCCGCGCACCGGCCCCTACGCTTCAGCCAGTAACTAATCCTTAAAGGGGAGATTACTGCGTTAGAGTTTGGGGAGAGTCTGGATTACCTGCCCTTTTCTCTTCGTTCAATAGTACGACGGGAACCAGACGTTTCCGAAGTTTAAAAAGATGGACAGCGAAAATGTTGAAATTTGTTATGATTTCACAAAGAAAACATGGCGAGACGATGTTACTTTCCTTGTAGAGAACCGACATGTTTACGCGACTAAAGCGATTTTGGCTCTTGCGTCCCCAGTGTTTGAAGCTATGTTCGGGTCAGGGTTTAGAGAAAATAGCGAAGATGAAATACCTTTGCCAGGTAGGCCTAATTATAAGGATAAGGACGCATTCACATCTTCTGTTTAAAATATTTGAATGACATACTTTAACTTTATGTTAAGATTTATTTCTCAAAGCATTGTAGCTAGTACCGAGCGCATCTAACTCAAGGAAGTGGCTACTGTAGCCACAGGGACCCAGCACAGTGTTGGGATAGAGTAAAAAAGTAATTCTAAAAAAATATATACTGTATGAATAATATATATTATATATATAGTATATAATTTTTTTTTTGAATTATTTTTTTACATTATCCCAACACTGTGCTGGGCCCCTGTGACCGTGACGGTGACTCGAGACGAGGCGGATTGTGCTTAATTTCAAATTTATATATATTGCTATTTCATTTTTTAGCTCACCTGTCACAAAGTGACAGGGTGAGCTTTTGTGATCGCTTTTCGTCCGGTGTCCGTCCGTCCGTCGTCCGTCCGTAAACTTTTACTTTAAATGACATCTCCATAAACCACTAAGCCAATTTCATCCAAACTTCACAGGAATGTTCCTTTGGTGGTCACCTTTAAAAATTGTTCAAAGAATTTAATTCCATGCAGAACTCTGGTTGCCATGGCAACCAGAAGAAAAAACTTTAAATATCTTCTTTTAAAAAATCATAAGAGCTAGAGCTTAGATATTTGGCATGAAACATCTTCTAGTGAGTGTCTACCAAGTTTGTTCAAATAAAAGCCCTGGGGTCAAAATTGGCCCCGCCCCAGGGGGTCATTGATTTTCCCTATATGCATATAGTAAAAACTTTAAAAAATCTTCTTTTAAAGAACCAAAAGAGTTAGAGCTAAGATATTTAGCATGAAACATGTTCTAATAAGTGTCTACCAAGTTTGTTCAAATAAAAGCCCTGGGGTCAAAATTGGCCCCGTCCCGGGGGGTCATTGATTTTCCCTATATGCATATAGTAAAAACTTAAAAAATCTTCTTTTAAAGAACTCAAAGAGCTATGGCTAAGATATTTAGCATCAAACATGTTCTAATAGGTGTCTACCAAGTTTGTTCAAATAAAAGCCCTGGGGTCAAAATTGGCACTGCCCCGGGGGTCATTGATTTTCCTTATATGTGTATAGCAAAAACTTAAAAAATCTTCTTTGAAAAAAACCCAAATAGCTAGAGTTAAGATATTAAGTATGAAACATCTTCTAGTGAGTGTCTACCAAGTTTGTTGTAATAAAAGCCCTGGGGTCAAAATTGGCCCCGCCCCAGGGGTCATTCATTTTCCTTATATGTGTGTAACAAAAACTTAAAAATCTTCTTTGAAAAAACCCGAATAGCTAGAGTTTAGATATTGAGCATGAAACATTTTCTAGTAAGTGTCTACAAAGTTTGTTCAAATAAAAGCCCTTGGGTCAAAACTGGCCCTGCCCCAGGTGTGTCATTGTTTTTAACTATATGTGTAAAGAAAAACTTGACCAGCTAGACCTTAGATGTTTAGCATGAAACATCTTCTAATGGGTGTCTACCAAGTTTGTTCAAATAAAAGCCCTGGGGTTTAAACTGGCCCCGCTCCGGGAGCCTATATACAGGTGAGCGACTTCAGGCCATCATGGCCCTCTTGTTAAATAACTTGGCACAAATGTCTACCACATCAAGATGATGTGTCACGTCCAATAATCACGTCCCTACCTCAAAGCTCAAGGTCACACTACCATTTTGAAATTCACTTTATCACAATTAGAGTTTATAGGTACACACATTCGTGTCTGGACTGTAACATGTCATGCATCGAAGAATTTTAAAATTCATAGGCATTAATGTCTACCACATCAAGAGGACATGTCGCGTCTAAAACCCATGTCCCTACCGTCAAGGTCACACTTATTGTTTGAAGGTACTCATTCTCACTAGAAGAGTTTGAAGATACACATTAATGTCCTGACTGTAACTTTGTCATGCATGGAAGGATTTTAAAATAACTTGGCACAAATGTCTACCACATCAATACAATGTGTAGCGGCTAAGCCTCATGTCCGTCTGTCTGTCCGTGTGTCCCCACTTATACAACAATCATGTCTAGACTGTAACTATGTCATGCATTGAGGGATTTTGAAATAACTTGGCACAAATGTCTACCACATCAAGACGATGTGTCGCATCCAAGAATCACGTCCCTATCTCAAAGGTCAAGGTCACACTAACATTTTGAAGTTTCACTTCATCACAATAAGAGTTTAAAGGTACACACACATTTGTGTCCGGATTGTAACTCTGTCATGCATAGAAGGATTTTAGAATAACTTGGCATAAATGTCTACCACATCAAGACATGTCGCTTCCAATAATCATGTTCCTACCTCAAAGGTCAAGCTCATTCTACCATTTTGAAGTTCACTTTATCACAATTAGAGTTTATAGGTACACACATTTTGTGTCTGGACTGTAACTTTGTCATGCATAGAAGGATTTTAGAATAACTTGGCACAGATGTCTATCTCATAACAACATTCTGTCACGTCCAGGAACCACGTTCCTTCATCACACTTATATTTTGAAGATTCACACTATCCCAATTAGACATTACAGGTACAAAAATACAAAGAACAATATTAAGCAATTAGTTACTTTCATTCTCTTTTCTTCTCATAATACCAGCATACTTAAGAAACTTTTTCGGGGGCATTCCTCACTTGGGTTGACAGCTCTTGTTTGTTCTTTCCCGATGCAAAATTCCCCCCCCTGCCTCTGATAATATAGGGGGGAATTCTCAAAAATATAGGTGAATCCCCCATCCCCCCTACTATAATAGATACTGTTAAAGGTATGACCATTTCAGGTCAAACCATAGTTGATGTTGATTTTCAAAGACACACCGATACAACTGATTTTAAATGATGTCTGACAATTTGAATTTACATTTAAGTATTTATTGTTTCAGACAAGAAGTTTAGAGATTTTAATGAGTTCCTTCACTGCATGTATCCAAACTCCAAAAAGAAAGTAGGTGCCCAAAATGTGTATAGAATCCTTCCTTTGGCGGATGAATACAATGTGAAACCACTGATCAGAGATTGTATGAGATTTCTTAATAAACGAATTATGGAGGATCTCGTTCCAGTCAAGGAAGTAGTTTATTGTCATGGATTAGCAGCACGCCATAGTTTCAAATCTCTTCGAGAAGACTGTGCTACAAGGCTTGTTCGTGCAGGAGTGAAGGTTTTAGATGCTGTTAATGTCAATGATGCAGATACCCTTCTTGAGATGCATAAAGACATTTTAGAGAAACAAGGTGATGTGTTGGAAGAAACTCGTACTGAACTAGTTAATATATATCTGCATAAAACTATAAGAGTTGAACCAACTGTTAATTTATCAAAAGAGAAAGGTTCCATCATAAAATTTAAAGTCAACATAAACTCACTAAAACAAAATCGAAAAAGTTTTGGTGATCCAGTAAAGCTTTGGGACATTGACTTTCACAGCCTTATATCCATGTCCCAAAAGAATGATAAGAATTCACTTTCTTTCCATATTTGTGCAAGGTTTCTTCCAGAGAGTCCAGCAAATAAAACATGCAAAGTGTTTGCAAACATTTTTATTGATCTGTATGAAAGAGGTAGGAAACGTAATTATAATTTTCTGATCAAATGGCGAGAATTCACAAAGACATCTCACACTTGGGGCTTCAATGATTTTGCACAAAGCGTGGAACAGTCATTCAGTGAAGGTGATTCAATAGATATTGTTATATATTTGATGACTAAAAAGCCAGAGATCAAAAATGAATAATTCTGTGGGGAAGGATGAAAGATTCTTTGTGAACATTTATGTTGACAAACATGAACATTGAAACAACTAGAACTGAAATAAAAACCCAACAACATTGTAAGAATTTACTTTTTATTGCTTTTTACAATGTACAGTTCACCACAATTTTTTGTTTTATGAAATATGAAAATGATAATGAACAACAATGACAAGGTATAAACTCTCAGGATGATGTATATTTTGTTTTTTTACAGTTAAAACATACAACATTGTTGAAATATAATTATTACATGTACCAACACACGAGATAAAACTTTAGTGAAAAATATGTGGTTCTCTTCTCAATTACATACATGTATATATACTCTCTCAACAAAAAAAAGGAAACGGTGGGCTATAGTTAAGTACCATTTACAAATTTAACAACATCAACAGCATGTATAAAAGTACAGCCAGACAAGTTCTAGGCAAGAGGCGGTGTACTATCAACAGGGAAGTCATTCGGCTATTCCTTATTTTACAAAAAATCTTTATCTTGAACTTACCAAATGTACATTTTTTTCCCCATCAAACAAACTTTTACTGTTATGGCTTCAGGTTGCAGTATCATTCGCAAGAAAGGTCAATTTTCCATGTCAACAATTATTTAATAACCCTGACCCTAAATATGTGAAATGGACGGTCTTTCTTTGAATTTTGAACATTTCATTCGGAAAAATGTCAAAATACTTACTAACCTGTGTAGAAGGAGAGTGTCAGAGTTAGTGACAATAATGGTGGCATAAAAAAGATAATATTGTCCTTAAGCATTCAAATTATATACTAATTGTACAACAATCTTATTAAAGATCAACACCTTTTGCAGGAGCCTGAAAAGTTACAGCATCAACATGCAGTTATAACATATCTGACTGTACTTTAACACATACCAGAACACTGAAAAACAACATAAAATGTAAAATTTAAAGAATCTAGCTGTTAGATTTGGCTGTAAGTTGAAAAAAAAAATTTATAGTAAAAAACAAAGTTTAACTTGAAATTCTTTTTTACAGCACATAAATGCCAAGAAATATATGTAATAGGGGAATTCCAAGCATTTTGAAGGCTCATTCTCGCAATACAATGCCTTTTTATATCATACTGAAAACACATACAATTTACCAACAAACAGAACCAATCTTGTCTTTTTTGATATATAATAGAATTAGGAGTAAATCAAATTGGTAATAACTGGTATTTTCTTCCATTCTGGTTAACTTGTGGTATGAATTAAAGCAGCATGCCTCCAGATTCATGCTTATTTTCAAGAAAATTTTGAAAATGTATTCAAAAGTAAAATATTGTACATGAGTAAGGTGAATGAAGAAAGTAATTTACACATTGTGAACTGCACTTGAAAATTACCAAAATTAGTTAGTCACACAGCAGAAACATGGTAATAAATACTTGCTACAAAATCAGTTATTAATTGCATATAATATGTAAATTATTCTAAAAAATGTGAATATTTTTACTTTTCTAAACATCTTAGTGAATTTTTCTCAAGGTTGATCTTGTAATATTTTGGCTCATCTGGAGGCAAGCAGCTTTAAAAGTAAAATAAAAACTTGTATGACTAGCTTAACTTTTCTTAAAGCACTTTTGTTAAATACAGACCCATTTTTTATCAAATAACCATATTAAGTTAAGGAACCTTGTCCTGTAACATTGGACCCACCAGGCTAACTTTTTTTAAATCATCTTCGGACTGTTACTTATATACCCCCCCCCCCCCCACCAACAGCCCAGCTCTTAACCTGAGGGTTGTAAAGCTTAAGAAGATGAGAGTTGATATAATTGGTAACTTGAAAATAAATGCGCTACATTTTTCTATCTTGTGTAATTAGTTCCAATCTTTTAAAGAAGTCAGATCAAGAAAAACAATTATGAACACAATATAAATATATTTTTCATACCAACAAAAAAGAAAAGTATTTAAGTATATATAACTTAAAACTAACACTTTTATATAAGCAATCTATACTTTCTTTTGAAATTTCCATGGCTAATTTCACCTTATAGTTTAATACATGTATGTATGGTAACGCATTGAGAAGTTTTACTCCTGAATTGAGGATATTTTGGATTTTCCTGTCTATGAGTCAAATATTATCAATGTCTGAATAGAGCACCAAGAACATATTATTCTACTGATTGATTGAATAAATTATAGTCAAGAAAGTAAACACCTTTTTTCATAGATTTTGTTTTAATTATTTTTTTTGTCACTTTCTGTTTGAATAGTAGGTTAGAAATAATCAGTTTGGTGCTTGACATACAAAAGTTAATAAGAAATGAAAACATGAGATCTAAAATTATAACAAATTTTCACTTCATACTTGCACAGATTTTCCATTTTTAACTGGATCAAATCAAAGCATTTCTATGAATAATTAAAAAGATGACAGTAAAACCAGTTTGATAATGATTTGCTCTATCTTGTAATTTCTATTCAAATTAGATAATATCAAGTACATGTATGTTTAACCAACCCTATAAGTTTTCATGCTTCAGCCATTTGAATTTAACCTACTCTATTGAGGTCATACAGCCACATAGCTTTCCTTGTGACCTTTCTGTATGTAACTACGAAGTATTCCAAAAACATCCAATCAATTAGGGAATAAACTTAAATTTTTTCCTGCCGGGAACTCTGGTCACCTAGCAAAAACGTTTGCTTATTTTCTAATCAAAGCGTTAAATAAAAAATTACGACAACACCAAACTTACAGACAAAATTAATTGTGACGGACATCAACAGATTATGCATTGTACTAAACCACTATAACATTTTTTTGCTAAAGTATGAAAATCATATTTTTTTAATATTCATGTTATGACATACATTGTATGAAACAGATCTTTAAACAAAACCAGATCATTTTTCTATTTTTAAATTTCACCCACTGAACATTAAATTGCTTTTTACTATCTAAACCTTAAAGGGACTCCACTGAGGTGTTTTGACATGGCTGGACTGGAAATAATTTTATGAGAAAATAATGTTCAGTTTGGTGCACGTCCAGACCAATAACCTTTATACAAAGTTTCAGGTCATTTGCTCTCTCAGTTTTTTCCAAAATAATTATTTAATTGTGAAAAATGACCCAAGATTGAAAAGTGTTGAAACAGATTGTGAGACTATTGCATTCATATCAGACAAGAATAGCACGAAAACACGACTTTCAATTTATTTTTGAGTATATCTCTTAATAGTCTTTTGCATATGTGATTGTTGTGAGTGCTCCAGCTGATCTATGTAAGAAATTCAAATGTTATGTTTTTAGGCTTTGGACTTCTGTGGAGTTCCTTTAAAGTTAACATAGATACATCCATCTAATGTTCGTAACTACAGTTTACATTTTAACATGAGATAGAATAATGAAGAATAAAAATATTAACTCATTCCTTAACCCTTACCCTACTAAGTTTAATTAATGGACTTGCCCCGATTTAGATCTGGAACAGTCCACTTTTAGTTTACAGCAGTTCCAAATACTAAAACAATATGCAATGTAGTATCAGAGTGGCACTATACTGGTGTAACGGGCGAGCCATCAATGTCACTTAGCTAAATAAGGGTTAAAGAAATTATCATTAACAAAAATGGGGCCAGGCCATTACTGTTTTAAAGAAGTAAAGGCCTAAGAAAGAAGATATGTTTATATTGCACTGATTAAATTAGTAATTACATAATTATAATAACTTTGCAAAACACATGATTCTGAAAGTATATGAAACAATTTATATAGCAACTGTACATTTCAAAGCAATATTCACTACATAAAGCTTTTTACATACATTGAAAATTACCCATAAAAAGACTTTATACCTGAGAAATATTTGTGAAATGAATCATTCAGTAATAAAGAAGAAAGAAAGAAAAATCCATAGTAAAACTTAAGACAGTCACTTGTGGTGATTTATATCCAGATCAACTTTTACAATTCAGCTGGTATTTATGTCAAGACATTTTTAATTCATTATGTCAAGAAATTATATTTCTTATGTCAAGGCATTATATTTGTTATGTCAAGACATTATAGACATAATTTTTGTTATGTCAAGACATTATGGACATTATAGACATAATTTTTGTTATGTCAAGACATTATGGACATAATTTTTGTTATGTCAAGACATTATAGAAATAATTTTTGTTATGTCAAGACATTATATTTCTTATGTTAATCAATTTTAAAAAATATCATTATTTATTCAAAAACATTCAAAATTGCAATTTTACAGCTCTGAAGAGCTTTATATTACCTTACTATGTTAATATATGAGCCGCGTCACAACAAAAATCATGTAATGCCTTTGCGATCAGCATGGATCCAGACCAGCCTGCGCATCCACGCAGTCTGATCAGGATCCATGCTGTTCGCTTACAAACTCTATAACAAGTAGAGAAACTGATAGCGAACAGCAGGGAACCTGATCAGACTGTGCGGATGCGCAGGCTGGTCTGGATCCATGTTGGTTCCAAACGCATTACGTTGGTTTTGTCGTGATGCGGCTCATATATGTTTCTTATAACCTACTAGAAAGTCTGAGGAGACATAATATTATTTTAAAATCATAACATTACCGGTATATAGTAAAAACTTTAACTCTGAATTTTATAAACCTGTGCTTGAAAAAATGGTCGACATATCTTTGGTTATATTAAACTAGGTATTTCTAATATTGATAAAATATTTTAAATAACCAGGTACTTCTTATATTGATATAAAATGTAAATTCTTCAGAGGAATAAAAAGTGAAAAAACATTGTACAAAATTTTAAAAACTTAGCATCAGTATCAAATAATACATAATAAATAAACTGTATCATGAAACAAAAATGCATTGAAAAGAAAAATAACAAATTTCTGGTGGTCTGTGTGTTGAAAATACATGTATGTAAAAATGCCCATTTTAGCTTATAGCAATAAAAATGTATACATCAAAGCATCAATTATAAATACATGTTAACCCTTACTTCACTAAATATCTTAAAATGGACTAATCCATCTTTTACTCTGGACATGACCATTAATTATATAAAGGGAAAAAAAGTTGCAAAAAAACATGATCAGACAGCACAGATGTGTCCGGGTGATCTTGGTCTGTTCTGGTCTCTAGCCGCAAGCTGATTGAGGGTTAAACAATGTAATACATCTGCTTACGTTACTAAGAAAATAACAACTAAAACATAATTTTTCGAAAGAATTTAAGAAATGTTAAAGTGACTTTTAGTCTGCTGTTTAAAAAAATTTTAAGTATCAAATCATTGTTGTATTTTTCAAATGTACAAAAAACATGAAGGTGATACCATGAGAAGCACTAGTTTGTGAAAATCACTTTAGCATCAATGTATATATAAACTTATCAATTGACAATGCTTTGGGCCAAACTATTGGAACTGTAATATGTAATGAATAAATTGACAGGAACAACACAGTGGCACCAAGCAGACAGGGTATGATAAAATCATAGGTAAATGCAAACTTTTTTCATTTGTCATAAATAAATACAAGATACGTTACTTTTGTACACACAGTTTTGAAAAATAAAGAAAGACAATGTAATATACTGTGCCATCATTTATAAAAACACTAATCATGGGCCCCAAAAACTGAACGTGATTTTCATAAAAATCAACTTGCAAAAATGGAAATTGAATGAATTGATGATTAAGATGAATGTGACATAGCATCAAGAATAAGTTCTTTCCATCGATCGTTGAAGAATTTTCGCATGTTGTGTCCGCACTGACCTACTTCTGAATCATCCTCGTTGAATAACTGACAATTGTCAAACACTAGTCTAGCATCATTCACGAATTCTCTTCTAGAGCGATAGCTGTAATAAATATATAAAAAAAATTTTCTTCTGGTTTTTATGTCAATTTTAAACACTTTTTGTTCATATTTCAGTGGTCAATCCACCTAACTGTCTTTTCCTTAATAACTAACTAGTAATAACCAATTTCTCCGCAAAATTTTCAATTAAATTAATAATCGAAACCTCATCTCACATATATTTAATACCAGTTCTAAAAATATTTTGCAAACAAGCATTTTTTTACAATAAATAGCTGCATAACCTATCTGTTGAAAGTTTGTCTGTCTAAAGTGTCTCAACAACAAACTAGTATAAGAACTTTACTATTGTTCTCTTTACATGTAATTACAGAAATAATACTATATTTTTACAATTTTTCAGGAGCCTTTTACATGTAACTATGCAGATAAAGCAAAGGTAACAACTGTCCAATGAATACAAAACCTTCAACAAATATGCAGAATTATAATATCAAAATTTTAATATACATAATTATGCATATGGCTATTTGGTCCTTTTGATTTAGTAATTGACAATCGTTTCAAGTTTTATTTGAAACTATCCAGTGTTAATATAAATAACAGGGATTTTTTGATATTATTAACTCAGATGTATGGGCTGTTATAATACAATACATGTATACTGGGGAATATGCATTAATACAGTCATCAAATTACAAGCAAATCAAACTATGCAATTTTCACTAAAAACTGGGTAATTTTACTAACACAAGAGAAAATAGACAACATTTGGACGGAGGACAAGTGCTTTAAAGCAATGGTACACTTGTGTACTTTGACAAAGTTTACAAGATACATTTTTTGTATTTTCATATATATTGACTTACATATGGTCCCTGAGTTTTATTTTCATGGTTCCAAAGTCCATGGGATATTTTATATATTTCCTGTATGAAGGGAAGTGTTTACAGTTGACTGGTTGCAAGAATGGCCAACCATCTTCATGTTTCATCATTTCTGTGTGAAGCAGTCTGTAACAAGAAATATAACTCTTATCCATTTCAGTACAGACACATAATCTTCAAGGAAGCCCTAAACAAGGCCATGATGGCCCTTTATTGCTTGAAAATTTGCAAAGTTTTCTATAGTCTTTAATATATTCATGGAAAAATACAAGTACATTTGTTGTCAGTCACTTAATATGAATCACTTTTATAATTATATTACCAGTATTTAAGTTATATTATACATGTATAGGTCTGACCATCTGATTTGGCTAAGATAATTTTCATTTACATTTTTTTTCTTATTTACATAAGAATATGAAATCTGACCAACAGTTCTTGATACTTACTTTTACATCAATGTAAAGTTTTTCCTTCTAGTAACCTTGCCATGGCAACCAGACTGTTACGAAAGGATCATTTCTATAAAGTAATGTTGATATTGACCTTAAAGTGGTTTAGGAGGAGATGTCATTTTTCATTGACAGTATGACTATGCAAAATTGAAATTATCAAGCAAAAGATAACCTTTGCATTTATTTACCTGCATATTTTCAGATCTGTGGACTGCTCTTCAATTTTTATCTTATCTTTTTCACTGACTTTGTTTTCTTGTTTCTCTCCATTGGGAGATTTTTCAGCTGGACTGTCCTCCTTTTTCTTCTGTGGACTGTCACTCTCAGACTGAGCGTCTGATGATTTACGTTTCCTAGGGATACCAAAGTCAGATCTACGTTTTCGACCCGTGGGTGTGAGATCTGGGACAGGGGTGGACGGGGCAGAGGCACTGGCTGTGGAATTCTTCCTAACACGTTTCTTTGCAGAAGACTGAAAAGATTTGTCAAATTTCTAAATAAATACTTTTTGATCCTTGGTAATACTTAACTTTGTATTACTTATTATTTACAACATACATGTATATAATATGTTAATCACAAGCAAGGCTTGATGGCATGCAATATGAAAGCTTTAACTTGTATTTTTAAATGTGTTTAAAGTTTAATATAATGTATAATTATGCATAATCATGCATAATCATTTAAATTTTGACTCCCATTTCTAATTTGTGTTAAAAATATAAAATGTGTTAAATTCAAAACAAAAATGTAAATGATACTTCTAGTTTTACACAATATATCTGCTGAAGATATGGAAACATATTTTGGTAAATGAGTTAAAACCAAGGGTGGCATTAACTAAATCATCAGACTAGTAATCTAAGTATTGCTCAGGTCACACAGGTTCAAACCATGTGGGTTCAAGCTGTTGTTCCTTAAGCAAAAAAATTAATACTCGTTAAATACCAGGGTTGATTCCAGTAACGAATTTGATAATATCTATTAGCTTATTGGTTTCTACACAATGAAGCTTAACCCTTTCCCCCATGAGCATATTGTGAAAAATGGCCGTTTTCACTGAAAAGCCTCCTGTTACAAGTTCAAACTGCTATGAAACTATGAAAAATGCTTCAATACTAATCAAACTTGGCACAAATGTTGACTAGACCATTGCCTTTGTAACGACATGCTCAGTCTTAAATTTCCTGTTACCATGGCAACGAGGGGACATCTCAAAATTGCCAAAAATCACTATTTTGCCTCGATTTTTTCCATCAAAATTTATTTCAAAGTGCTGCAACTTCTCAAGGGATTGAGATAGAGTCAAAGGCTTTTCAGCGTTGGTTAAACGTTACATTATGATTGACCTGGGGTCATTTTTAGCCTGTCACAAGTCCAAAATTTTCTTGGCGATGAGGGGGACTCCGCCCCCCTTCAAACCCCCCTAACAGAAGGGGGCACATCCCCCTTCTGGCAACCCCCTGATGTATCTTTTGGATGGGGGGCGGCGCTGAAAAAGTGCTCAATTTCTTAAGCAACATTTCTCAAACGAAAACTTATGTTTGGGGCCCAAATAGGACCATTTTTTCACTATTTGAGGCCTAAAAGGGGGGGGGGTCGAAAGTGCGTTGTTTCGCGTATATATGTCGTAAAGGGTTAAATAAATTCTGTATAAATAAAGTACAAGTATTTATATATTGAAATATCTTCTCACCTTACTACAGTCATCACAAGAGGCACAAAACCACTTTCTTGGTACCCTACAATCATAAAATGGTCATAATATAGCAAATTATTATATATGCTTATCAATACAGAAATAAATATGAAAAATACAACTTCACTTGGTGTGAAAACACTAAATTTTTGGCATGGTGCAAACACTAAATTTTTGGCATGGCATCACTGCTAAAGTGCTGGCTTAGTCTAATCATTCAATGTGAATTATTTCATAGCAGTAAATAATTATGTAGATGTACCATAACAAAGAAAGATCTTTTAGAATGACAATTAACACAAATGTTTTTTTACAGAAAATGTTAAACAACTATTTCTTTACGACAATTAATACTGAAGGTTTTTTTAAAAGAAAATGGTAAACAATCATTTCTTTAAATCTCCGATGACAAAGTCTTTCACCCTAAATTTAGGCAGTACAACATAATTATTGTATGAAATTTATTGTGTATTTTTTGTTTTGCTTGGTTTTACTCTTAAAGTTTATCCAGTAAGTGATATACAGTGAATGATATCAATAATATCTCACTGACTCAATGCTGTATTTCATTAATAAAGTTATATCATACCTAGGTAGAGGTGGATCAAGGCAGTCTATATGTACACATCTGTTGCACATATTACAGTCGGCCATCTTGCCAAATCTTCTACCACATACCAAACAACATGACTCACCTACAGCCTGGTGATGTATATATATCAAATATATTAGCTTTTGTTATACAACATGTAGCGACTAAGTTTTCATTTTAGGTAGACCTCAGGTGCTCATCCATGCATTATTTATTTTAAATAATATTTTATTGCAATCTCATAAAAAATCATATACTAACTGACGCTACACTACCTTTCACTAGTAGAGCATAGAGTAACCGAGTAAAAACGATGATGTTTTTTAGTGACATTGTTCTTAAAGCATGTAAACTATCTGAAAAAACATGTACAACTTCCTCTTTATATGATCTTGATCTAGCTAAACATTATATATGAATCAATAATTTTCAGCGTATCACAATACCATTAAGATATTTTTATATACATGTATATTATTGTATGAAAGATGTAATGTAATACCTTGGATACACATTCAAAACAGTACCAGTCACCATCTGGAATGGTCTCCAACTTGGGCTGAAAAAAACAACAAAACAATTAGAAAATGTTGAAACTCTTTGAATGCTTGTCATCCCTTGTCTATATCATCAGGGAAATTTCTGTTACTTCATTTTCTCTAACATTACCATCAGTATAAATGATAAAAGATAAAAGTTTGAGATAAAAATATAGGCACAAGCCACACCAAAAGTTAAGCTCATATGACAACTTCCCCACTTTTACTGGGGGCAGGAGATGCAAGTATGCATTTAAAAAGAAACCCTGACGTTCTTGCAATTAAGCTATATTAAAAGTTTTTTCACACGAACAAACTTAAACAAGTCTCTGGTGGGATTCAAACCCAAAGAGTCTTTAACCATCATGATAATATAAACCCCTTATTTGCTGAATTGTATAACAGATTTGTCCAGCTTTGAATTTAAAACAATCCATTAAAAGTTAAAGAGATTTTAGAACCAAAATACAAAAATTAGTATAGAGTCTGGATGGACGTACAGACTGGCATGGCTATATACTTGTGGAATTTGCTAACCAGTTTCCAACCAGCAGGTAGTTTAAGATTTAAGGTATTTACCTTAAAACAGTAAGTATGGTAACCACGATCACAACCGTCACATAGCAACAACTCCGCCTCGTTATCATCTTTTCTACAGATCTGACATAGCTGAAACAAATAAATTACATGTATAATTTACAAATCAGAGTCAAATATAATCCCTTTTACAGGCTTTCTCTAACAATTAAATTATATAATGTACAGGTAAAAATCACATTGTATATTCCATATGTTTAATGTTCATAATTTTTATGATGCTTCTGAGAGCATTATGTTATTTCTTGTAAATTGTTCAACAAAGACAAGTATCTGAGGCACTCAGAAATTAAAATCAATGTTTTCAATAAAGAACTAGTCCTTAGGATACGATTTTCATCAATTTGGAATTCTTGGTTTGTTAACATTTGAAAATTCTAGGATTGGGAATGAATAAGGAATTTGACGTTCTAATATTCGTTTTCCATAATAGAATATACAATGTATTCGATTATTCATTTTTACATTTGTTCCAATATTTCTATTTGACGTATATGTATTTTCAAAATTCATTTAACCTCCATCACAATATATATCATTGTAATTGTATATTTCTATAATGGGATCATAACCTAAATTAAAATTATATCTATTTTTTTAGTTTATTACAAACTCTGTGCTAAGATAAACAAAAATATCAATGCCTTGGCCTAGAGGTTAAGGTGTACAATGCCTCTCAAGCACTACTGGGATCATGATTACATATCCTCATAAGACACCAGCAGTGGTTAGTTCCAGGAAGCTGACTCAAGGGTGATTCATATAAGCTTCATTCTTTCGAAACATTCAATAAATAATCACTGTCAAGTTAAAGGGACTCCACTGAGGTTATTTGACTTGACTAGACTGGAAATTCTTTTCCAAGATACATGTCCCATTTAATGTGGGTGTAGACCAATAACTTGTGTACATAATTTCAGATCATTTGCTCTCCATGTTCCCCTGAATAATTATTTTTATTGTGAAAAATGACTCAAAAATTGAAAAGCTTGCAATGCTTTTCACTCAAATCAGGCTAAGAATTGCACAAAATACAATTTTTCAATTTATTTCTGGGCACATTTATTAATGACTTTTTGCATTTATTTCCGTTTCAAGTGCCGCCACAGATCTATTTAAGAAATTAAAATTATATGTTTTAGGCTTTTGGACCTCGGTGGAGTTCCTTTAATACTTAAATATTTACAAAATTCTAAAATCATACCACTTTCATGATTGACTTTTCCCAGGCCAGTGAATTATTCAGCTGTATTATACACAACATGAGTTGTGCCGGTGACGTTGCCGTAGCAACAGCAATACGCCACATCTGTAGTCCGACTGGCAGGTTTTCAAAGTCTATCTCTGAGTCTGGGTCATCTGTGGCCTCTGTATGACTTGAGGAGGACATACTGTTAAGACTGATCCTATGCCTGAAAGCAGTAATCATTTATACAAAATAACAGATATATTAAGAATCTACATTCCATATAATCATAATGTTATGATTTTAAGGAAAAGTTTTTGGGATTGGCAAAATGCCGAAATCAATATTGAAATCCAAAATCATTTACCAAACATATTTTTATGTTTGTTGGTTTTTCATTGCGTTGCACCAACTCAGTATAGTTCCGTAAGGTAGCAAAATATTTTCCTCACATGAAAGAATCCAAAGTCCCTGGTGGAATTCATCAAACCTACAGCATACATGCCATAATTTTTAGACTCATTTCCAGGACACTTTTCATTTGGAGGTGGGGCATTGATCAGCAAACTTTTTTTTTTTTAATTAACATATCAGCAATTTCAATGAAAGTTCCTAGTGGTGAACTAAAATTGTTTTACAACCTAACATCAGACACTCGGAGAACTATGATATACATGTAATATATATTTTAATAAATATTGAAGTTCAAAGCTATAACAGCAGATAACAATCTTACGCTTTTGAGAGTGGAGGTTTGAGGTATCTACGTTCAACATTTGATTCCAGTTGTAGCAGACGCTCTTTTGCCGCCTCCACTGGGTACAGGTCATTCTCGTCCTTCTTTGGTGAACCTCGTGGAATGATACGAACCTCTGACTCCTCAGAAAATGTCTTTGGTGCCAGTTTCCAGCCCTTAAAATCAAAAACAGTTTCTTAACTACATGTTAACTGCCATGTTCACACATATTTAATCAAAATGATTCAATATTAATTTTTCTAAACTGACAAAAGACACAAAATGTTTCAGTATAGGAACTGAATCAAAAATGAAATGGTAATATTTACAGCAGACAAATTTAACTGAATTATTTTATTAAACAACAAAACATTATAGCAATATACAGTTGTCTTTGCTTAAAGTGTTAATAAATTTAAGTGTACTGATCTCACTTATTGAACTTGATGTTCAAAACAACCTACAATACAAGGTTTATCTCCCCTTTTTTTCAACACATTATAAAGGTTCCAATAAATAATTTGTATTCATAGTGACCAAATTTTTAATTTTTAAATACAGTTTATGAACAGTAATTATTCTTATGCATTGCACTCCTCGTCAATGAGATACATCCACTGATGTTTAAATGTTCTGTACCTTGATTTGAAGGCTGGCAGTTGCTATCCTATCTTCTAATGTTTCAACCTCCTCCAGTATCAGGTTATCTGCTTCCTCTGACCTTGCCTTACAGTCAATCACTGGTACAGGCTTCTTCTTTTTCCTCTTTTTCTTTACTTGTTTCTCTTTCTTGTTCTTTCCTTTCTTTCTTCCTTTTGTTTTATCACACTTTTTCGTACTTTGTTCCTCACTACCTTTTTCATTGTCTTTGTCACAATTTTCAGTTTGTTTATCACAACTGTGTTCACTACTTGTTTCTGTGACCGTTTCAGTGTTCTTTTCACTAGATTCATCACTTTGGTCCATTTTCTGCTCTTGGTGGTCATTATTTTCACTGTCCTCTTGCTCTTCAGTTTTATCTTCTGCTTCCTCTTCATCATCGGTAACTTCCTCCTCAGATGAAGATTCCATACAGATAACTAAAATTATAATCATTTCAAGTTTTAACACCATCATAAGATCATAATATTGTTCTGGAATTGTACACTCTATTTATTGCATAGGAAATTCACAGCAATTTCATAGATTGATGATAATATCTGTGTTTTGTTTTGGGTCAGACCGTAATTTTTACCAAGGGTAGCTGCCTTTTATCAAAATACTTTATAAACACTTTACAAAGATTTAAACTTCGAAAATTTACAACAGTTACAAATTCACAGAAAAACAAATTTATAACGAAGTGCAGGAATGGCCGAATGGTTAACGTGTTGGATTGGTAATCTAATGATAGCTAGTCCCGTTGGTTCAAACCCTGCCAGGAGCAGGTCGTTGTTTCCTTGAGCAAGAAACATTTTACTCATTGCTCAGTATGGGTTGGTTCTAAAGTGTGTCTATAAGCTTATAGCTTCCTACACAATTCAACTGAAATAATTTCTGTATAAACTAAATCTTTAACATAAACATTCAAAATGGAAGAAAAGTACATGTACTAGTATATACCTTCTTTAGTCTTGGAGCTAGATGCCAATGTGTAATCTTTATATTTCTGTATAGTTTTCTCTAGTTGTTTCTCTCGTATCCCACGTGGATGGAGACATTGTATCAACTGATTCAACTGCTCGCTCTCGTTGATCTTCCACCAACCTTTCTTGAACTCTGTTGGTCATTTAATAATGACAGTTAAATATGATCAGAATATGTTACCTAAAGTACTTTATACATGTAGTTCATATACATAAATTATTTTAATTCTTTTCAAATCTAGTTAACAGTCACTACAGACCACTTGCGTTGAAGTTTCATTTACATACCACAAACTGGTTCTTTAGTCTGGTTTACCACATACCGGTACTCCAGTCTAGATTACCACATACCGGTACTTCAGTCCTGTTAACAACATACCAGTACTTCAGTCTGGTTTATCACATACCGGTACTCCAGTCTGGATTACCACATACCAGTACTTCAGTCTGGTTTATCACATACCAGTACTTCAGTCTGGTTTATCACATACCAGTACTTCAGTCTGGTTTATCACATACCAGTACTTCAGTCTGGATTACCACATACCAGTACTTCAGTCTGGTTTATCACATACCAGTACTTCAGTCTGGTTTATCACATACCAGTACTTCAGTCTGGTTTATCACATACCAGTACTTCAGTCTGGTTTATCACATACCAGTACTTCAGTCTGGTTTATCACATACCAGTACTTCAGTCTGGATTACCACATACCAGTACTTTATTCTTGTTTACCACATACCATTACTCCAGTCTGGTTTATTACATACCGGTACTCCAGTCTGGTTTATCACATACCAGTATTACAGTCTGGTTAATCACATACAGGTGCTTCAGTCCTGTTTACCACATACCAGTACTTCAGTCTGGTTTATCACATACCAGTACTTCAGTTTGGTTTATCACATACCAGTACTTCAGTTTGGATTACCACATACCGGTACTTCAGTCCTGTTTACCACATACCGGTACCCCAGTCTGGATTACCTCATACCAGTATTTCAGTCTTGTTACCACATACTGGTACCAAAACTTGTTTATCACTTACTCGTACTTCAGTCTTGTTTACCTATTACCAGTATTTCAGTCTTGTTTACCTCTTACCTGTATTTCTTGTTACCACATACCAATACCTCAACTTGTTTACCGCATACAGTATTTCAGTCTTGTTTATCAAAAAATTAACCAATCAATGAATATTTCAGGATTCTGTCCTAGTGCAAAATGTACAGACTGAGAAGATTTTTTGCAGCTCCTGCCAATATTCTTACTAAATCTTTTAATGACATGGCATATGCTAAAATTACATCCCTATGATGGTCATTTTATCTAACAAGAAAAAAAACCCCAATAACTTACCTTCAGGAATTGGCTTAGCCTCTCCCTGGAGAGATTTTAAAACTTGCTCTGGATCCGGATTTTGACTAGATGAGACTGGTTCTGGTTTCTTAAATGAAGAATCACTTGACTGGGTTACAGATGTTACTGTTGATGTAGAAAAACTGGTCACAGTCAAAGCTTGGTCCGGTGAGGTATTAAACAACTGGCCCATTTGGAATGATGAAAATGGAGGGCTCTGTATTGAAAATGGATGGAATGGCAGCTGAGAGATAAAAGGTGGTGATAAAATTATTCCTGATGGCATAGAAGTATGTTGTCCCCTCGTTAGAGACATATCATCACAGGGAACTCTGGGTAACAAACTGAACCATGGTTTTCCGTCTGCTGTATGGTTGTCTATATTACTTACTGCAGACTGGTTATGATTCACAAATGGGTTAACTGGTAGAACACTGTTTGGATAAAACTGGTTACTTTGACTAGATCCAGATTTTTTTTCCAGAATAGAGTCTATGCTCATAAAGCTTGGCTTTCTTTCTGATATATTAGTTTTTACATGAGCTGGTGGTGGTGATGACAATGAAGGAACATGATTGGCTGACTTGGTCACATGGTCAGGAAATGAGGTATTCAAAAACAATGATGAGGATGAGGAAGTGGATGACGTCTGCTGTTGACTGGTTTCTTTTGAGGAATCAGTTTTAATGGCTGCATCAATGGACATACTGCAGAAATCACTAAGTTTAGTACATTGTGGAATCTGCAAGAAAAGGTTAGACTGTTTCTCCACATCTGAGGACAACATATCTTTTTCTATTGCACTAGATTTAACACTTGGAATTTTCAATTCAACATGTTTAGAGGGAATCTTATTCCCATTTGTTTCATGTTTTGCAGATATTACAGAATCATTTACATTGCTTGAGGAGTTTTTGGAACCTGGCTCGTTACTTTTTGAGTCTTTATTGGTACCCGTATCAAAGTCCATGTTTTTATTGGAACCAGTCTGATTCTGAGATGATTTACTGGTACTAGACTCCCTACTTCCTGAGACAGATAAACACTGAGGTGATTTCTGGTCGGAAATTCTTAGATCTCCATTACATATACTTTCTTCTTTATTATCAGTTTCTTTCACAACCTTTTCTGTAAGTCCGCTAGATTTGACTTGAGTATCAAATAAACCATGTTCACCAACATGTCCATTAACTTTAGCTGATTCTTTCTCAGTCCTGGAGATAACCTCCTTTTCAACTTTTACACCATTTTCCAATTTTGAATCTTCAATTTTCAAACTTTCCTTATCCTTTTCTTCCTTTACTTCTTCAGGCATTTCCTCTTTAACTTCACTAACACCTTTCCCTTCTTTCTTAATCTCCTTATTTCCAGACACAATTACACTTTTATTTTCACAACCATTTTCCGATTTAAGCTTTTTCACACCTGCTGCCTTCTTTTCTTCAATTTCTTCCAAAAATTTGAAACATTTCTTTTCACTTCGCTCATCTATTACTTCTATTTTGAGATTCTTAGCCTCTAACCTATCGTTCTTGACCCTGACCTTGGCAAGATCTTTAATCTCCCCTGACTCCATCCCTTCAATGAACACTCCTCCTGCGTGTGGTAAGACCCAGTAGTTGCGTTTGTATCGATCACAACCAAGGTCAATGCCACGAACATGCTGCGACTCTTTGAACACTTTATCTCTGTGTTGAACATGCTGCTTACGGAGTTTTTCTATTTGTTTCTCACATTCCTCAAGTGTTGTAGGGTCATCTTCCTCCTGGAATTATCAAATAAATTGTTTGATTGTAATGAACACTCAGATAGTTTGTGTCGATAATGACTTGCCTATGCCACACATATAAAACACATGTATTTAACACTTAAGTAAGGCAAAATGATACGATAATGTAACACAATCTAATGAAGATATTTATAACCAGGTTTCCATGTAAACACAAGTTTAAAGTGAATTGGCAATATGAATTATAATCCTTAACCCTTACAAAGCTGCTACCGAAACTGCAAACTCATTTCCAGCAGTACTGACAGCTTGAAATGTGAATAATTCAGAGATGGTTATACATCCATAAAAGATATGTACAATGTAATAAAAAAACAAAACTTCAAACATTTTAAAATTAAGCTCTTGTTTTCCAGTACAGAAACATATAAAAAAACTTCCTTTCACATATAGCTGACTGAAAAACTTAATGTCCCCAATGATGACGCTGACATGATCTTGACAGTCAAAACAAATTATACCAAAATTTATTTAAGAGATTTGATGTAATCTTCATCTTGTTCCATTACTAATTAAAACTATAGGTACATTATGCAAACTTCATAAAGCTCAAATACAAATTACGTACTGTTTCACCCTCGTTAAAATTTTCCTCCTCATTACCACTGCCCTCATCTTTATCCTCCTCATCATCACTCTGTTTACTCATTGTTGTCATGACACTGTCCTCAGTCTCGCCGTCTGCTGCCGTGGGCTTCGTAGCCACTTTGTTAAACTTCTTCGACCGCATGATCCTCAACCTTGATAAAGCAAAATATAAATATTATTTTAACTGTTAACCTGCTGGAATCAAAACCTGCTGCAAACCAGTCTGACCAGGCTCATTACTGTTGATTTGTTTCTCAATTTTTCTATTTTAATATTGACATTCCTTAAACTTTGAAGGGACTGTTTTATATTCCAAGCATGGCTAATCGATTACACAATCATATAAAGCAGGTTAATGGATAAAATTTCATAAATGAAGATGACAAAAATATTTTGCAAACTTTAAATTACCCATTTGATAAACAGTTCATTATACATATCATATGTCAAAATATTAATGTTAGTAATGGCATAAACAGTCAAACTTCGTTTTTTTCTCCAGGTCTTTCATTTTTTAAAAGACCGTTACTAAATTATATACATCTATATCTAGTATCTATATAGTTGACCAGATATTGAAGAATCTATTAAAAAACAATCTTCCATCTACGTTATTAAAGTAAAGATTGAGAAAAATATCTTGATAAATATACCTTCGAAGCCTTCCTTCAATGACCCATTTGTCCCTGCGGATATCGGCCATGTGATCGAGATGGTTTTCTATTTCCGTGGTAATGGTCTTCCCACAATTCAACTCATTACATAGGAAAGCTATCACTGCAGCACGCTGATTGATCGACATTGCTTCTAGCGGGTAGTTGCGTAAATATTCACTCAGCTATTAAATACAGGTACTCGTATATATAAGTTTTGATTTCATTTGTAATCAATAACATGGAAGCATTAATTTTATCATTCCACATATAAACAAAGAGTTTACATTATAGTTTGAAAGACATATATATATTATAGTTTGTATCCTTGCATCAGCATTCCAGTTTGTTTTCTTAAGCAAGAGGGCCATGATGGTCCATATATCGCTCACCTTATTATTAAGGCTCTGAATTAATATTGTTAGCAATGAATGAAAGGCAGATATAATGCCATAAAGTTTAATGTCCAAATTGTTTCAATGTCAAGCCTAATAATACTTTTATTTTGTTATGATGCACAACCATTAGTGTTCCATCTTAAATTTTTTTAAATCAAAGGGAAATAAGAGAACAAACCTCAGTTTCGCCTCCATTTCGAATGACCATAAAAACCCGTAAAACTTCTGCGAGGATGACATCTGTGATCTCAATATCAGTAATTTTCTGTCCCAACTTTGTCACAGCCTTGAATATATTGTAATTATTTTTTAACAAACAGATATATTGTAATTATTTTTTAACAAACAAGTCCTAATCTAGTTATAGTACAAATAGTCACCTTAGTAACAGGTTAAGTCCTTCCAACTTCAGTGATTTTTTTACTGTATTTTACAGCCAAATAAAGGCTGTTTTCCCCTAGCGCAAAATAGGTATATTTTCCCCTAAAAATGCTACAATTTTTTTTAAAATGTCGGTGCCCTTCCTTATCTGAATCATGTTTTAACAACATCTGATTTATATCAGCTAGAAGACAGAAAGCTGTCCTTTTAGATAGCTACTGCTATGTACCAGGCATGTCAAATTGAATTGAAAATGAAAATTTTATAAAATGTGTTGGTAAATTCCATTTTCAACAGTCGCAATTTGATTTCAGGTTTTCGTCTTAAATTCACACTACTGGCATGGATCATAAAATTTTACAATCTTTAGATCTGTACCTCTTTTGGATTAGGAACACCTGGTTCATCGAGGGCGTGTCTTAGAAGATGAGTGACAAGGGACATGTACTCCTCGCTGTCATCCTCCGTTTTTGCTATCACAGCATCGTGTAAACTCTTTAACGTGGGCAACGTCTGTGCATCTGAAACGAACAAAATATATATTTCAGTCAATCAAAAGTTTGACATTTAAGATCAAAATTCAGATATGCAACTACTTACCAGCCCAATATTTGAATGATCTGAATTGGGAACTGTCCATTGTGACTAAAGTGATTTCAACATCGAAGTTCTAAAAATTGGGATGCCAAAGTATTGTGCTGGCATACATGTACATCTGTACTGATGGCATTATATGAATGCATGTTCAGAGTGGATTAATCAGAAAGGGAAAATATGTTTACACAATCATAATAAGATGTGTTTGTAAAACATGTACCTCCTCTTCACAAATCTGTTGATAATTAAGAAAGTAACTGAAAAACCTTTTCTTGAAACAAATGTTCGAGGAAGAAGAATCTAGTTTACATAATGAAATAACAAACTGAGAGACATCCATTGGAAAAAAACAATATGCACATGTCATGTGTTATTTTTAATTAACTTACCAAATCCAAGAGCTTTAGAAAAGTTGTGTAAAAACTCCAGAGACATCAGACAATCTGCAAATGCTTCCCCATCAAGACGGTTTCCTGGAATTCTTGAGAACTCTGGCATTTCCTACAATACATTGATTCTATTATTTCAAAACTTTCAATCATTTATATTGTTTCAAAAGTCACATGCTAATTTGACTGTCCATTCTGAACTATTACAATAACAATAAGAGTTGTCTACCCTGAAGCATTAAATTCTTTATATATTCTTTTTAGTGTAGCCAATATACACTATAGATAAGTAAAAACAACATTTTTCAGCAAAGAGGCACATGGTACATAAAGTATTTCCCAGTATTGTCGAGTAGAACAATCTTCCAAAATTCCACTGATTTTTTGTCTATAAAATCACACAACTTGTTTAATCTAGATATTCTGGATGTACTGTCACCCTGAGTGATCTAACTTTAAAAACTGCTATGGTCTCGTATATTACTCTCCTATCTAATTTTAAATTTCATTTTGAGCTGAACCTACAGTGCCACTGTTTGACTGATTTTTTTCTTGCTTTATCCTTCAATTATGATCCCCTTATCTTAATAGAGTTTTAATAAGAACTGATAGCGTTCATCAAAAACATTTCATCACAAATCTAAAATTTGTATCTTGATAGTGTATTTTTCAATATTTTTTTTACTGTAAAAATGTAACAATTTGTACATTTCAGTAAAAGACAAATTAATTATGTGTTTATATCTATAAAATAGAGTTGCCTACCCTTAAATCTCGAAGTTCCATATCTTCTCTTGGTTTCTTTAATTCTTGTGCCAACACAAACTCCATCTTGCGTTGTTCCTGCAAAAAACAACATACAGCTTTCTACAACACTTCTCATTTTTGTGACAAAATTCATTAAGTTTCATAATTTACTTCATGTTTTTATAAAACCCCACAAACCTTTTACCTGCAGAATTTCTTAAATGCCAGAGGCCAACATATTCACGTCCAAATATTAATATTTGATCATGTCCAGCTTCCATTTTTGGAACTGTAAATTATCCATTTTAAGAATATCAAGTTCAAAATTTCAAATTAAAATCATTAGTTATTAACCCAAATGCCTGTTAATAGAACCAAATATTCATTATATCAGTTTACTAAATGTATAATATATTTTGTTTTTTACATTTTTTCTTTCCCTGTGCATTCTCTTTTCTGCAATCCTTTCTTCCCTTTGTCTTTCACGTTCCTGCAAATTGAATAGTAAAATACTTAAGTATGTTACCTTAAAAATTAAAGATTTTCACAAGGGATTAAATTTTGCTAATTTCCAGGCTAAAAGAAAATGAACACTCACTAAGCATCAAATAAATTTTACAGAATTGAAACCTGAAATTTGTGACTGTCTAACCATGCCAATTAGAATCTAGTCCTCATGATTTTTCCTGAAAAATGTTGTCCTCACGAAAATATCTGATTTAACAATAGTAATCTGCATATTGTTTTGTAATACTGATGCTTCCATATACAGATTATGAGACAGTTACTTGAAGCTGTGTTTTTAATGAAGCATTATTCATATTTTACAGAATTATGATTTTTGTAAATAATTCCATGTAACATATCTTAAAGGAACTCCACTGAGGTCCAAAAGCATAAAATTAGAATTTCTTACATAGATCTCCTGGGGCACTTCACACAGAAAGATATACAAAAGATAATAAAGAATTATACATAGAACTAGACTGTCAATAGTATTTTTGTGCTATTCTTGGCCAATTGAAGTGAAAAGGGCTGCAATGCTTTTCAATTTTAGGTCATTTTTCACAATCTGGAAAAACAAAGTGGGCAAATGATCTGAAAATTTGCACACAAGTTTTTGGTCTAGACCTACATCAAATGGAACATTAATCTCGAAAAATTATTTCAAGTCCTGCCATGTCAAAATATCCTCAGTGGGGTCCCTTTCATCATGAAAATTATATAGAAAAATATAGTGGTTTAATACCTCCTGTTTCTTTCTTTGTTCAAGTGCCTTCAGAAGTAGCATGTGCTGTCTCCTCCTTTCCTGCTCCTGTAAACAATATATAGGCTATAGTGTAAACATATTTTGGCTAAGTTTGTCATTTATGTCCAGTCATATCAGAAAGACAAAGTGAAAACTACCGATACCAGTACATGTATAAAGCCAGGTAGCCCTGCACATTCATAAGGTCTGACCAGACAGCTCAACTTTTTACATTGAAATCCCTTAAACTTTGAATTCAAAGGTGGGCAAATCCATTCCAGAACTTCAGCAAGTTTAAAGGGGGGTTAAAACCTGTATTGGATTTCTCCTATCTCATGATAAAAAGCTTCATAAAATGTCTTGACAGTTCAGACATAATTGATTACTAGCTGTCTGCTTGCCTTAACAATAATTATTGGTTAAACAGTCTCCCTGCAAGATTTCAACATAAGATGTAGTAGTTTTAATGCTCTTTTTTCCCCCTCTTTCTTTATGAAATGCCATCAGTATTAAGTCTATTCCAATGTGGCCTTTGCGTAGAAAATTGCAAAATCTAAGTATATTCGAATATAACATGAAACATTTTCATCTTTATAATTACAGAATCCTGCATATAAAGTGAAATATTTATATAGCCGTCATTTTTTGTTTCTCCTTTTAATACAGAAAGACAAGCTATATTTGGTATACATTTTTGTGGTTGAAAGTGCATATCACAAGAAAGTGGGCAGTAGATAAGCTTAAGAAATATCACTATTCAAGCCATCAAATTCATTTAAATCAAGAGCATTCGTATAGTTATTTAATGGATAACACTTCCACAAGTAATGGTATTGAGTAGTACACATGGATGTGTTGATTACTAAGGTCGAGTAGGGCTCTGACAATGGTCCATATGGCTTATTGAAATTCCACATTACAGGACTCTGTTAAACAGAAACTGTCATTTGCCAGAAATTTGTTGTGTTTTCATTGTTTTCATGGTATCTCACCTTTTCAAGATCTCTATAATGGAAGCATAGACATACTGTTAAGCACCTTACAGCTGGAACACTTGGCCACCAAACCCCTGTGGTATGGTGGTGGATGGTGGGGGGGGGGGAATAAGCAGAAATTTTACATGTCTGTCACCACACTGCTGTTTCAATGTACTGGTTTTGTTTTATGTGCCAAAATGGCTGAGTATAATTCACTCTCATGCCCAATGAAGGGGCTTTTACCATGTATTTTAACATATGCATGTCTGTGGTAGGGTGGGGCCTTCAGCCCTTACCCGTCAGTTTGAATATCCTAGTAAAGTCAAAGTCCAAGACAGGATTACAATCAATCAAAGCAATATCAATGTCAGTGATTAACTTGTTAAGAACAATCAGAATAAAAACAATCAGAGATATTTACCTGTCTCAATCGCATTTGCTCTTTCAACATTGCCACTTGTTGTCTTTTCATCTCTCGTTCCTGAAAATAATCATAACAACATAATGGTTACCATAGAAACCCATATATCAAGACCCTTTTCACCTTAGATATCATACTTATATATCTAAAATACAGGTATTTCTCTCTTACTTCTGCAATATCAATTTTCATGTCAAAAGCAGCTAAATTTGGTCATTTAATCACTTTATGTCTGGGTTTTGAAAATATTTGATTTTCAAGAACATTGTGTGCACAGACATGTAAAGGAAAACTCTCTTTGATGCTTGGCTATTCCAGTAATAATGTGAAGAAATGTAAAATATGTTCGTCTTTGATCTCTTCTTAGATTTACACATACAAAACAATATGAAATGTATGCCTTTAAACATGGTATTAAGTCTGATTGATCCAGACTGCTGCTTTATAAAGCAAAGAATGAGAGAAAAACCCTTCCCCTGCTGACACTGTAAAATGGACTTTCCCTATTTTGAATTTGATTCGCATCCTTCCACCTTATATTACCTTTCAAAGCTGCATGCCTCCAGATAAGCAAAAATATTTCAAGAAAATCAAACTTGAGAAAAATGTACAATGATTTTAAGAGAAGTCAAAAGATTCCTATAATAATTTGCATGTTATGTGCGATTAATGACCGACTGTAGTATTTACCACCATATTTCTACTGCGTTACTAACGCAGTAAGAGCTATTTTTGCATATTTTGACATCTTTTTGGTTATTTACGTTGATTTAAAGTGCCGTCTGCAATGTCAAAATTTATTTCTTTGTTTACGGTGCAATATTTTATACTTTTCATGTTATTTTCTCAAAATGTTCATGAAAATTATCATGAATCTGGAGGCATGCTTCTTTAAAATACTAAGTGGTGGTACAGCAGAAGTGTCATCTCCAAAAACTACCACCTCCTTTCATTCTAAAACTATACTACCCGTAACAACTACATTGTCTTTACTTCACAGACTGGTATCTTGTATTTCTCTTAATATTCTATTATTAGTAACAATAGTGAGAACAGTGCAAAACACAACATGTGCACCTTGACAACATTGGCCTTAAGAAAATAATATTGTTGCATCAATTTGTTAACACATATAAGCCAATAATAAAAACTTATTAAAAAGTAATGTGAACCTTAGCAGTAATCTAAAATAGCTAGGTTACGATAAATTTTATTCTCGTTTCATTGCCTGCAGACAACTAGGTTGGCTTAATTTGCTCTCCATGTATCTGAGACTGTAATGTGACAAAATTATTTATAGTACCAGACTGATGTCAACCTAGTTGAAAAATACAAATTAAAGAATTATCCAAACTCTTACACATATTTTTGACCTCTGCATTTGTGGTTATATTACTCAACCTTGGACAAAATCACTTAAAGCAGACCTTGACCTTTAATCTTAAATCCTTGACCCAAAACCTACAAAATACCATCAATCCATTTAAACACTTCTATGAAATTGACCTTTGAATTGATAATAAATGACCCTTTATAAACTTATAATTTAACTAAAATATATTCTGCACCCTTAACTTGACCCTTTAATTTTCTTTTTAAAGTTAAATTTTTGAATAAGTCCCTGACCTTGGACCCTCAAACCCCGACCTTTGACCCTTTAACTTACATTTCCGTATGGTGAACTTGACGGCGCCATTGCCCTCATCATATATTCATCACACTGTTGCATCCCATTCCACTAAAGTGGACGAGACAAAATTATAATTAATTACAGAATTTTCCAGGGAGAAAAAATTATAGTATGGCATGTATTGAATTGACCTTTGAATTGTCAACTTATGACCCTTTATAAACTTATAATTTAACTAAAATATATTCTGCACCCTTGACCTGACCCTTTAATTAACTTTTTAAAGGTAAATAAATATTCTTGAATAAGTCCCTGACCCTGGACCCTAAAACCCTGACCTTTGACCCTTTAATTAACTTTTTAAAGGTAAATAAATATTCTTGAATAAATCCCTGACCTTGGACCCTTAAACCCTGACCTTTGACCCTTTAACTTACATTTCCATATGGTGAACTTGACGGCGCCACCGCCATCATCATATAATCACACTGTTGCATCCCATTCCACTAAAGTGGACGAGACAAAATTATAATTAATTACAGAAATTTTCCAGGGAGAGAAAAAATGATTGTATGGCAAGTTGTTAAAATATGATATTCAAACAGTAAATTACAAGCTGTATATGTACGCATGAAGTAACAATTTGTGTCTAGAAAGTTACAAAATCAATGTACTTATATAATATTTCTTAACATTCTTTTTACAGAATAAGAAATTGGTGTTATCCAAAACTTAGCAAATGTTTGTTTTTTCCAAGCCAATCCATAGGTACAAACAAACTTTTAATCGTTACAGCTTCACAGTGGACTACCCATCACAATTTCAATAGATTTGTCAATCTGTTGCACTTACTTTCGAAGCTGTAATGTATATAGTCTGTTTGTACCTATGGAGTAGCTACGATAAAACACAAATATCCTTAATTCTGGAGTAAGTCAGACGTATTAACAATATATGTCTAGTAAGTTATGATGTACTTATTTAATACTTCTTAACATTCTTTTTACAGTACAAGGAATTCACAACTGCAACATAAGCTGTGAACAAAGGCCATATATACATATTCTTCTTGGAGGCCTTTTTTCACAAGAATAAATGTATTTCAGTAAAATCAGTAACAGGACATTCTGTATTTCATAAGACCTTTTTTGCATTCAGTAAGAAATGTATACATGTATATAACTTTGATTATTCTGAGACAAGCATGCACTAAAAGAAGAGTCAACATTGGTTTAAGGTAGTCCATCCATAAGAGCAGTCATTTCTTCTCTTTTACAAGCTTTCTCTCTATACAGACAACAAGGTTGGTACTGTCAGAGGCTTTTTATATATGTAGAGAAAGGAATATCTCATTGTCTGAATGGATAAAGTATCTTTAGTTAAAAATGTCAAGGAAAAGGAATGGTGAATCTTGAATAGTATAAAGATTGGTATTTCTTTCCATTTTAAGATATTTCCTCCATTCAAAGTATTCGCTAAATCAACATTGTAGATAGATTTTCAGCTATGAATGAAAAAAATATAATGTATCACAAATAGTCAAACTCAATGTTTCTTGTTGAGAACTTACAGTTTCCTATGCCAAATAGGGAGGTTCTATACAATTTTCAAAGAAAAAGGCCAAATAAATTTTTATGCCAACTCTGGTAATTGTACATACAGTATATGGCCAATCTGGTCACACCTTATAAAGTACATAGACACTGTCAAGTCATATGAAAACCTTTCAGGTTTTATTGGTATAGGAGTTCCATGTGCAAATCCTTGCATTATTTCAGACATAAACTGCCACCCAAACTTCCTTAACATTGATTGTTGTTGTTTGTTTTGTTGGGTTTTTTTTTTCAGATAAAAAGTGTTGACAATGTTGGCAAATTTGACAATAGCCATAGCAAGATTGAAAATACATTGTACAAACATTTTTATGATAAACTTTAGTGACAGGAAAGAATTAACTGTGGTGACATGAAATACCTAACTGGTGAATGAAATCACCTAACTCTGGTAAGAGACAAATACCTAACTCTGGTAAAAGACAAATTTTTAGCTTTGATATCATAAAATATGGTAACCTAACTTTAATAAGAGGAAATGCATAACCTTGGATGGAGGAAATACCTAATATTGGTGATATGTAAAAATACCTAACTTTAGTGAGAGCAACCAAATCATATAGTGATCAGAACATAAGTTAATCAACAAAGTTTATCTGTGAAAGCGTAAATATGGAAGACTGAATGTGCATGTGAATACATAGGGAACAATCCAGTAAGACGAGACAGGATAATATACTTCTGTAATGCTATACATGTATAACAAAATTTTAACATTCTCAAAATATAGAGAAATTTTTAACAAACAAACTGTTCCATTTCCATATAGATTTATAAATTATGTATCTCATATAGAAATAATGTTCCAATTATCATCAAAAAGTTTTTTGTAAAGAAGTGACAAAATTAGGATCAAATTCGGTACAAAGATTGATATTTGGATCACCACTTTTTTTCTAAACTCATTGTCAAAACCTACCAAAACCTATTCTTACCACAAATCAATTTAACTCCTTATAGACATATTATATATTGAACTTAATAATGTAAAAGAAAGTTTAAGAATTTGGATTGTGATCCTAATTTTAATCCTAATCTTAATCCAGATTTTGACCCTTTCTGAAAATCGGGTCAATGTCAAGTTTACTGATATTCCTTAAAAAATGGAATTTTCTCTTCAATCAAAACTACAGAACAACCACTGTAGATAAGCTTTCTGTAGAGCAAGACCTCTCAACAGAAACTTTGTCTCTGAAATTGTCTTGCTCTGGAGAAGTTGTTTTGTTTAAAGAAATCAGAAAAATCTTAAATGGCATGTTTATTCTTTAACTAAAAACAATAAAGAATGTGAACTTATAAAATACAATCACATGATGTAACAAAATTGTTAGCATTTTGAAATGCAGTACAGTGTTGTTTTTAACATATGGATAGTAAAAAAAAAACTTTGTGGTTATAAATAGCACAACCCACAAACGCCCATTCAAACTAACAGTTGAACACAACAATATATAAACAGAACTGAAAAGTTTGTGCGCATGCAAAGTAACAACGCAAGTAGAATAATTTTCGTGCATAGTCATACAGGTTCTGTTTAATCGAGTTTAACACAAAATTTGTATCTGATCTGTTCAAAAATCAGAAGAATATTAAGCCATTCATTTAACCTTGACAAAAAATATATGTATCAAGTAAGTCACGAAGAATCAGATAAGATTTTTCCCCCTTGATTTATATGTTTTAGAATCAGATAAGATTTATCCCCCTTGATTTCTATGTTTAAGAATAAGATAAGATTTATCTCCCTTGATTTCAATGTTTTAGAATCAGGTAAGATTTATCTCCCTTGATTTCTATGTTTTAGAATCAGATAAGATTTACCCCCCTTGATTTCTATGTTTCCTGTATTTTAATCAACTTTCAACAGGTATATCTCAAACTTCAGACTACCACGATGAAGTATGACCACACTGTATAATGTGGGCAAACACCTTGCAACTGTGATCTCATTTTTTGCTATGAAACCACTGGCATACAACTATCACTCATGTGATGAGAAAATCATGTGACCCAAAATGGCGGCCATTTAATACTTTCAATTTTTTTCAATTTTTATTTTACAATTTTTTTTTCCCCAAATATTTTTCACTTTTTGTACATTGGGAATTACAATTAAATGAAAGAAACCTGACATGACAGAAAACATTTGAAATTAAAATTCAATGCTTGGTTGGCTCTGTGACAGCCAAATTTTATACTAGTAGTTGCAGACGTTCCTAGACTGATCAGGGGAAGTAACCACTGCATGGATTGTGTAATGTTAAGAGCCTAATGTTTTAGCATTTTCATATTGACATCCCTAAATATCCATATATTCATTACATAAATTAGCAAGGGTATAACTGTAAATAAACTTTCATCTCTCATGGCATTGCAAAGCAATCATTCAGTAACATTAATCTATCTGAGTAAAGCAAAACTATCCAATTACTTCCCTTACCCCAGGCTAAATAATTCCCCTTTACCAGCCATAGAAGCATGCATGTACATTAAAAGACATTCCTTCATAAAGGAATACATAATACTGAATATATTCAATGCATCATTGCAAAAAAAAACCTTTAAAGAATTGAGTTTACATTCAGTACTGTTTTAAAGCCACAATATACCATTTTATCTTGAACAAAGAGATTTTAGCGCCATTTCTAATTCAGTACAAATTCTTAAGAATCTGGGTCTGAAAAAAAACTAAATGACTGCACGAAAGCACAACAACCCCCCCAAAAAACAATAGAATATCTGTATCAAAATATTATGCATTATTAAGTAATTTGTTTTTCAAACCTATATGGTTTTTCCTTGGAGACCCAGTATAAACATACGAGCCGCGTCATGACAAAACCAACAAAATGGGTTTGCAACCAGCATGGATCCAAACCATATAACAAGTAAAGAAACTAATAGCGAACAGCATGAGTCCTGATCAGACTGCGCGGATGCGCAGGCTGGTCTGGATCCATGCTGGTCGCAAACCCATTATGTTGGTTTTGTCGTGACACGGCTCATATATTTTATTGATTTAGCGTACTTTTCAATACAGAACCTGTATGATTTTTTCATAAACAAGGGAGAGAACTAGCATGATCACTGAATATCTAACATCTCTGACAAACCTCGTTCCGTTTCACGGCTTTTAAATATTTCTTTCGCTGCTGATCCTCCTGTTTTTGACGTCGCTTCTACACATGCAGAAATTATAATGCGTTACTAAGCAACACAAAAAATCATCTCCTCAATTTGAAAAAAAATATAGGTTTTTTTTTGTTGTGTTTTTCTTATAAGTTAAGGAAATAAAAAATTATGTCAATCAAAACTGTGTCTGCTTCATAACAAGTCTTCAAGTAACAAGTTCAAATATTTTTTCCCAATAATCCCCCAGTTTTTTGCTCATTTTTATATTCCTAATGGTTCTTCAATACATCTAAAATCTGATTTTTTTTAAAAAGATGACTAAAGTCTGACTAACTGAACTTTCTCAGAGTACAGATCATACACACAGGTTTGACTGTAAGAAAGAGACCTTAATCAACCTAATTTATCTTCATCTCCTTAAAATACTTATGTTGCCAAGGTTAAAAATATAAAAATTACTGTAAAGTTTGAATGAAATGTAGAGATGTACATTCCTGTCCAATTAAAATTCCATTTTTTTCTCTCTCAAAGCAATGAAAATATGTTGACAAAAAAACAAAACAATATCAACTTCAGGCTTCCAGGTTCAATTTCAACAAACCTAAAAAATTCTCTGCTAGCCTATTTCTATTTCAAACAATAAAATCCACAGGCAAAAATCTTAAATGTAAGAATGGAAGTAACAACAAAACATAAAAAACCATGACGAAAAATAAAATATTAAAAAATATCTAAAAAATCATATCAATGAAAAAAAATATAGAGAAAATAGCCTACAGGGTAGAAACAACAGTAAAAGCCAAAAAGGGGCTGAAAAATAAGATAAAGGAAAATAAAAAGGCCATGCAGAAATGGATACAAACCTCTAGTAATTGATGTGCGCGCATTTCCTGTTTCATACGGAGCTGCTCATCACGTTGCTGTCTCTCACGCTCGCGCATTACGCGCATCTGCTCACGTTGCTTCTTCTTCTCTAAAACTGAAAAATTTAAATTGAACATCTGTAGTAACAGTAACAGTTAAGATAATTCTTGCAATATTAGTGCTAGAGTTATGAACCTTGTTACATAAGATGTGGATGATGATAAGTTACATATATTTGAAGTTTGAAGTTGATCCCTTTAGAAATAAATAAGTTACAGTAAAAAATAATATTTTTTAAGGAAAATTCTAAGTTCAAGGGGAGATAAATCTGAAAATATTGGTGCTAGAGTTATGAACCTTGTCACATAAGATGGGGATGATGATAAGTTACATATATTTGAAGTTTGAAGTTGATCCCTTTAGAAATAAATAAGTAACAGTAAAAAATAATATTTTTTAAGGAAAATTCTAAGTTCAAGGGGAGATAAATCTGAAAATATTGGTGCTAGAGTTATGAACCTTGTCACATAAGATGGGGATGATGATAAGGTACATATATTTGAAGTATGAGGTTGATCCCTTAAGAAATAAAGAAGTAACAGTAAAAAATAGTATTTTTTTGTGGAAAATTCTAAGTTCATGGAGATTAATCTGAAAATATTTGTGCTAGAGTTATGAACCTTGTCACATAAGATGGGGATGGTGATAAGGTACATATATTTGAAGTATGGGGTTGATCCCTTAAGAAATAAAGAAGTAACAGTAAAAAATAGTATTTTTTGAGGAAAATTCTAAGTTCAAGGGGAGATTAATCTGAAAATATTTGTGCTAGAGTTACAGTTTCTTTATATTAGTTTTTGAATGTAACTTTTTGACTAATACAAAATAAAATGTAACTTTTTGACTAATACAAAATAAAATGTAACTTTTTGACTAATATGAAATAAAATGTGACTTTTTGACTAATACAAAATAAAATGTAACTTTTTGACTAATACCAAATAAAAAGTGACTTTTTAACCAATATGAAACAAAAAGTGACATTTTGACTCATAAAATAAAATTTGACTAATATGAAATAATAACAAGAGCTGTCCCAGGAGCAGCACACCCCACTTTTCTCAGTGCTGGATAGTAAACTGCACATGTTCTAAATAAATAGATAATTTGAATTAAAAACACACATTGACCTTGACCTTTTAACCTTTAGGCATTGCAGTTAGAACTAATCAAGATGCATCCATATATCAAGTTTGTTTCAAAGTCACAAATAAGGTTATTGACCATACACAAAAATTTCAATGCAGTTTTCAAAAGGTCAAAAATCATTGTGACACTGACATTTGCACTTTACAAGATACAAAAGAATCAGTAGTTTTCTTGTGTTAACTTGCAGGGGAAAACAGTCAAGACTAAGAATGGAAAGTTCCTTACTTTTCATTTGTTTAGCTCGTTTCAGAAGTTCCTTCTGCTGTTCTCTCTCTAATCTTTTCTGGAACTGCATCTCAGCAACTTTCCTTGCCATCTCTATAGCAAATCACAATATATTATTTTGAAGTTTACCGCAAAACTGCAGTAACTCATGAAATAAAGAAGGACTTAAAACAGGCTTGTGGTCAACCCTCAATTTATACTTATGTGCGTTTATTTAACCTTTAGAGGCGTACGAGTGATAATGACTTTTAATTAGAACTCCTTACACATTTTGCTATATTTACACCTTATATCACACCTACAAATATGACATAGCACATGCACATATTTGACCTGAAAGGAAATCTATTTTTGTATACAAGTGTGACCTGATTGTTGCGACTGAAATCAATATTTATTGTGTAGGAAGCTATAAACTTTGGACACCTGAAAAGAACTACCAACCATTTTAATAAAACATAATCTAACAACTGAAAATAATTTCTACCTTGTTGTTCAATTTTTTGCTTCATTTTATTTTCAATCATCTGTCTTGCCATAATCTGTTGCATCTTCAATTTTTCTCTTTTCTTTTGATTCTCGATCTTTTTAAGACGTCGGCTCACCGTCACTGACAGTCTGTCCTTTATCTCGGATTCCGATAACTTGACAAACCCCTGGAAATATCAGCAACAAAACTGTTTAACACTTGACTAGGCGATAAAAATATGTTTGCTATGTAGAATTATGGAGATGTCTAAAACCTTCCCCCCCCCCCCCCCAGTGAACATTTATCGTACAATTCTGAATTTTTTTTTTTTTTTTTTGGGGGGGTGGGGAGGGTTAGGGGTTGGGTTTTCAGTCAAATCGACACTATATTGGTCATATGGCTACTTTACAATTCTTAAAATAGAGAAATAAATCCCCTTTTGACACAGAATCTAATTCTTTTAATGCAATGTGTGTGGCAAGCTCATATCTAAACATCACACTGCCAAATTAACAAATTAGAATTTATGTTTAGAACTGGAACATTTCAATTTTAGTTTAAGAGAGTAAAGTATCATATTACTCAAACTCGTATCATAGTTTCTGTTGTGAAAATGTGTGCGAGTTAAATCATATACATATACATGCACAGTGCGTTAACTGGAATGCAGGTATTAGTTACCAGCACTCCAGAGGATGCCCATTGATTTGTTCATTTTGTCAGGGGTTTACATATTGTGACGACAGAGAAAGGAATAGTGATAGAAATATCATATTCAGATGCTCGTTCATTGGTTACTTTTTTCTGGGGTTCAATATTGTGACATCAGGGAAGGTGTTTTTATTTTTGACTATGATAGAAAAGAGAAAGAACATCAAAACACTTGGCAATCTGATTTATACTCTTTCAAATCAGATAGTCTTGTGTTTCGATGCTCTTTCTATTTTTACTTAATCATCTTCACCGTACAGACTGGTCAAACTGCATGGATGTGATGCTGAGTCCGGCTCTGTATCGATTGATTTGGTTTGTTATCTGCACTAGCGCTCAAAGCTTCCAAAACCTTGTTATAAGAGAGGACATTTTCCGCATTATCCATGTTGAATAGAACAAAAAACAATCCCTTCCTTGTAACTAAACTCTAGCTGCAAGCACGCTAATTATAAGATATTTAATCCTTTAAGAAATCAATTTTACAATCATTTTCTCACAACATTCTGAGGATTTCATCCAATGTCAATCAAAACTGAATTTTTACATCCACAAAATTAGTAATTCCTTATTATGAAATTGGGTCTGTAAAATATTGTTTGATTTTTGATTTTTTTTTAGATGTTTTTTTTTTTTTTTTTATTTCTTGTGTTTTTGAAGTCACATCAACCTTATTATTTAAAGAAACTGCACTGAAGTCTAAAAGCCTAAAAACATAAAAAAATTAATTTCTTAATTAGATCAGCTGTTCTGTTCTGTTAAAACAGAAAGATATGCAAAAGATAATAATGAAATATAAACAGAAAAAAAATCGAAAATTGCATGTTTGTACTATACTTAGACCAATTTGAGTGAAAAGCGTTTTCAGTTTTGTAAAAAAGCTTAACCCTTTACCTCATATATACGCGAAACAAAGCACTTTCGACCTCATTATGATTCAGAAAGAGATAAAGTTTTACTTCTTAAAATAGGTCAAAAATGAATTTTGCAAAATTTAAATAATGGTTTTAAAGCATGTCAGATGCTTGTTACCTGAAGAAATTATCACTAAATGTGAAATAATTTGTCATAAAAGTAGTAAAATGTAAACAAAATAGTATTTTGACTTCCATACAAAATACTAAATCACTATAACTGTACTTATTGCCTAAAGACAACATAAGAAAAAGATAGTTCTGATAATTGGCCAATAAGTAACATTTTGGAAACTATAAAAGTACACCAAAAATAAAAATAAAGAAGCATTTGAAAAATTTAATCATTTTTAGGGCATAATGGGCCTTTAACAACAAAATTATTATTGCTTGATAAAGTTAACACTATAATAATGAATCAAGGCGGCACCTTGGTTGAACTTAATCACCTTGGTGCCAGCCAAGTTGTTTAAACAAAAGATACCAAAAACCTGTAATAAATCTAGTGTACTTTTTGAGAATCTTTCAGTTCTTTGTTCGCAAATGATAGGGTAATATTCAAATATGAATATTTAGATTTACTTCATTGTATATGAATAATTACACTGAAACATGATATACTCACGTTTTCACCTCCACCCACTCTAGCCTCATAGAATTCACCGACGTTGACCTTTGTGTTGAATGAGAACAGGTCACGACCCAGATCTTGGACATTGTTTCTTTCTATATACTGTAATCAGTAATAAAGAATTGTCTCAGAAAAAAAAGATCTTAAAAAAAATGTTGCAAAAGTTAAAATTAATTATTTAATTGTGTAAATGACAATGACAGGAAATTTTCACAAAACAGGGATTTGTGCCAAAATTATATAATTATGCGGGGAAAAATTAACATGTTAGGGCCCTAATTCTGCAAAATATGATAAAATCACAAAATTCCAATTATATGCAAATGGGCTCCTGGTGACAGTCTGTAAAATTTTGGTTGAAATCCCTTAAGACATGTAGGAATTGTTTACAGAATAAATTGTTAATGCCTTGTAACCTAATTAATGTCATCATCATGTATGTCCCATCTCTGTAAAACAGGGTTGAAAATGTCATAGAAATGGTCATTGTTCTGAAAAAAAATGCTTTCTCTTTATTGATAAGATTCATTATTGATTATTTTAAGATTGATGTCATTTTTATTACAAAGATTTTACAATTTTATAATTCACTCGTGTATATACCCTCATGACATCCGGTATTGTTTTCATTTTTCTTCCACATGGAGCAAAATACCAGACCTCCCCGACGATTCCACGTCTACCATATGAATGTATATTCGTTTGACGTTTCCAACCTTTACTCAACGGAATCTTAATTTTTTCATCGTCCAACACAACATGTCTGCGCTTGATCTGCCGTTCTCCACCTATGAAAATATTCATTCTTTTGTAATTAAGAAACAATGACAAACAAAAAAACACATATTCATAACAATACAAGCCAAAATTAATGTTTGGTTCCAGAACATTACTTGCATTTTAGTAACACGATTCTGTTCTTTATTTCAACAGTAAAATTTGCCTAATCATTGCAAATGACAATTTTTTAACACTTAACACTAAACCTCCTGAATTTGTGTAATGGATTAGCGCTACTTTGTAATTGGAGAAGTCCATTCAAAGTTTAAAGGATACCAAAATATAAAATTCAACTATCAACAGCATAGAGTCTTGTCAGACTGCACAAATAAATATAAAGACTGGCCTGCCTCTATACCGGTGGCAAATTCTAAACCAGTATTGTTTCAGCAGTTAAGGGTTAAAAGAACTTCACTGATACCAAAAGCCAAAAACATAAAATTTGAATTTCTTTAAAAAAGACGAGCTTGGGCACTTTAAACAGCAAGATATGCAAATTAATGATTATTGAAAATATACTCAGAAATTAACTGAAAATCATTATTTTCAACTATTTTTAACCCTATCTGAGTGAAAAGAGTTGCGAAATAACAGATTATTCTTCACATAATTACAATATTTATTAGGTAAAAATACAGTGAGCAAATATCTGAAATTTCGCACGAATGTTATTAGTTTAGATCAACATGTACACGGAACATTAATCTAAAAAAAAAACGGAACATTAATCTAAAAAAAAAAAAACATTTCAAGTTCCATCACGACAAAATATCTCAGTGGAGTCCCTTTAATTGCCCTCTATGTTCAACTTTATTTCTCATTTTCATATTTACCATCAGAGTCAGCCTTTCTCTTGCCACTATCTTCACTTTCAGAGTCACCGGTGCCGTCCATCTCAGATCCCGATAAACTACCATTTTCTGTATCATCATAAAATTTTACAAATATTATACCTTAGCAAAATAACAAATTCAATGCATGTCAACACAGATCAACTTAATACAAGAAGGTGCTAAAAGTAAAAGCTAAATCGGGGACTTTGGATTCTTTCATGTGAGGAAGCTACAATGTATATGGAAGGTCAGTAGAGTGTTGGCCGTAGACTGGTCTCAGTTTGGGCCTAAAATATACCAAAGGTCTTCCTCAACAAAAATCAGAATTGGCACTATTATAATCACCTTTACAAAAATACTTTATTACCTTAACAATCTTGATGTGAATTAAAACCAACTAACTTCTAACATAATTCATCAATAACAGCATGATGAAACGTTATTTAATTGTCTCTAACTTACAGAGGATTCTTCAGATTATGTAATTAGCAAACCGGAGGATTCTTCAGATTATGACACTGTAATAAGCAAACAGATTTGCATACTTTATTAGGTATACAAGATTAAAGTACGGTATATACACTAGATTTTACTAAAGCTCACATACCCATATCATATGGATCGAGGGCTGAACTACCGTTGCTGTTGCTGTCATGAAGCATGTTCTTGAACTTTGATTGCTGGTCCCCTTCATCACTAGCAGACATATCTTTACTGGTGCCCGGCTCCTGAAAAGAGAAAAATTTAAAATTAGTGTTGACATCATTTTTTTTACCATAAATATGCAAATTGAAACACTGAAATGACATATAAGCTGTTAGGGTCATACATCTTGATATAGTTGATATACATGTAGTACAAGTTTTACAGTGTTTCGGTCTGACACTGCTTGGTAGCCACTGAAAGAGAAATCATAAATTTTGTACCTATGCTCTTGTCTAAGTAACTATATCCACATCTAATCTAATGGTGAATGATGTCAAGATTATCACTGTTAACACAATTATCCCAGGAAACAATTCATTTCTCACAAGGCCATTGACCAAACACACTTACATCCAAACTAAATAATGTGAATTTCATCAGTCATAGTGCAAATAAAATGAAGCTCTCTCCTTAAATGATCCATAATAAAAGATCTAAGGGGAGTTTCCTTTAAAGTATAATAACCTGCTCCTCAGTGAAACAATAACTGACCTGTTCTTCACTATTATCAGCCGAATGTCCGTCATCACCGCCATTCTTCGCAGCCAGTTCGGCCATCATCTTCAGCTTATCGGCAATTTTGTTCGGACTTCTGCGTCTCACACCAGTCTTAACAGCATTCTTGGCCGAGTTCTCTTTGGTCCCTTTACTTTCTCTTTCATTGCTTGCAGATCTGATCATCATTAGAGCTATTTCCTGTTGTTTCAACTCCAGTTCTAATTCACGTTTCAGCCTTTCCTGTCGCTTCTCTTCTTCCTGTATAAAAAAATAGATCTCAGGTCATTAACATTATGCTAATAATAGAATATCTGTTATGTCTTCAAATGCTTGCCAGTGATGGTTAAACATTTACTGTGCTGCTGCTGCTGGTAGCTTTTGACTCTCAGACTCAGTGTCTATTCTAGGAAGGGGGATGGGGGGATTCACTCATATTTTTTGAGAATTTCCCCCATCCCCTATTTTTTATAGGCAGGGGGAATTTTTTTCATAGAGAAAGATGGTAAAGGATCAACATGTGTAATAAATTCTCACTTTTCAATAAAAATCCCCCCTGTTTTTCATTCTCAGTGACTTACACAATCAACTTCAGAACCTGTACTAAGCATAAAGGTCAATGAAAAGTACTGTAACATGACATATCTAATATGCCAGTCTTTAAATTAATAGCCAATGAGAAATGTTAAATAAGTGTGACAAAAGAAGGGGACTAAATATTCTACCAAAATATTTTCAGGAATCAGAAAAAAAATCAAACATTCAATTCTAAATACAGCCAGTCAGATTTCACTCAACAGCTAACGTTTCAATAAATAACATAGTGGTAATGACCTTTCAGTAAAAGATACTCTTAAATAATGCTATCAATTTTCACAGTTATACCACCTCCAGTGCTCTTGTTTGACATAAGTTTCATTAAAAATATTAGCGACTTTACCTTTCTCTATTGTATGATAAAAATTACCTATCCTAAATAATTATATAACAACTTGCAAAGTCATTCAACTCATGAAAAAAAAAATCTTGATTTTGCCAATACCATAGCAATATCATTATTTCTCAACAAGAAAGTTCAATACAGGATAGGTGATACACGAGAAAACATGATATTTTCTTTGTACCTATACACACTATTTTTCTCCACTTTTTTCTCAAAACATTCAATGTCTTACAACCTAGGTTATAAATGTTTTCATACGAAATGGAATGAAGCATGAATATTTTTTCAATTAACAGTTGCCATGGAAACAGCATCATTTAACAAATTCTTCATACTGCTATCACAAATGTATTAAAAGTCATGAAAATATTTAACAATAATTCACCTTGACTTAATTTCTTTTACTGTTTTTGTACTTATATTTTCAGGGAAATAAAATTGTTCAATTGTTTTACTATGAAGCAATACCTGATTCGTTTTAAACCTTACCATGTTAAATTTACTGGACGTAACTATCAACTTTAGTGGAAATTTCATAATAAGTACTGAGTGAATAGTGAACAGTGAAGACCATGATCGAAGGCACATACATGCCAGCACAGATATATACTTTAAAACCCTGTTCATGCTGTAAAAAAAATTACCTTAATATCAATAAAAGCAGTTTTTCATAAGAAATTTTTAACTATTTCCTATATACAAACGAACAGCTACATAGTATTTTCTCTTCCAATGCATTTAAAACCCCTCATACAATTAACCCAAGATACTAAATTCCCCTAAATGTGAAGAAAAAGCACTGACCCCAAGTTCATGCGGAGACATGTAATCTTCCTGTGATATTTTGGGTGGCCTCCCTCTTCTTTTTCTCCCAGATGGAGGTGGGGAACTACTTCCTGTTGCAGAATTCCCAGAATTCTTAGTCTGCATCCTCTGTCTTATTTGGTCTGCAATCAGCCTTTTCTTCATGCTGTCAATGTGCACCTTATCTGGTGGGGGTGTGGACGTTGAACTGCTTGAAGCTACTGGTTTGGATGGTGACCGTCTGCTTGGGGAAGTGGAGGGAGTTCTACTTGATTCTGCCTTAGGTGATGGGGAGGACTGTAAAAATGTAAAATATGGTTTGAAAGCAATACAAATTATGATTATGAGCAATGCACATATAAAAGAAACTAGAAATGTGTCATCATGCCACGGATGCCCCCGCATGCAGCCAAAATTTCAGATGTTATAATATTTAGTTCCAAATTTGTTTGCACAAATAATTTTTAACCATTTTCATACAATGTTCAAGGCACTGAAATTATTCAGTCTAAACCTTTTGAAAATAGCATATTTCATATTTGTAGCCAAAATAATGGGCATTGGCTACATACATTTAAGTGCTGAAACTGAAAGTTCAAAATTTTTACAACATTCAAGAAAGATAAGTTTGTCCAAAATCATTGAACCACGACCAAATTCAAACTTAAACTGCTTATTCCTAAGATGTATCTATATTATTTTCAAAGTGAAAGGGACATAACTCTGCAAAAAAGTCATCGAACCATGACCAAATTCCAACTTGACCTGCCCATTCCTTTGACATATCCATATGTCAAATTTGAGTAGTTGGGTAGATAATGAACAGAAACTGTAAATTTCATATTATTTTCAAAGTGAAAGGGGCATTACTCTGCCAAAAATCATTGAACCATGACCAAATTCCAACTTGGCCTGGGCATTCCAAAAATATATCCATATGTCAAATTTGAGTTGAATGTGTTGTACCATTGGGGAGATAATAAACAGAAACTGAAAATTTCATATTATTTTCAAAGTGAAAGGGGCATAACTCTGCCAAAAATCATTGAACCATAACCAACTTTGAACTTGACCTGCGCATTCCTGTGACGTATCCATATGTCAAGTTTGAGTTAAAAGTGTTGTACCATTGGGGAGATAATGACCGGAAACTGAAAATTTCATATTATTTCCAAAGTGAAAGGGGCATAACTCTGCAAAAAATCATTGAACCATGACCAAATTCGAACTTGACCTGTATTTTCTCACGACATATCCATATGTAAAATTTGAGTTGAATGTGTTGTACTGTTGGGGAGATAATGAACGGAAACTGAAAATTTCATATTATTTTCAAAGTAAAAGGGGCATAACTCTGCCAAAAATCATCGAACCATGACCAAATTCGAACTTGACCTGTATTTTCTCATGACATATCCATATGTCAAGTTTGAGTTGAATGTGTTGTACCATTGGGGAGATAATGAACGGAAACTGAAAATTTCATATTATTTTAAAGTAAAAGGGGCATAACTCTGCCAAAAATCATCAAACCATGACCAAATTCGAACTTGACCTGTATTTTCTCATGACATATCCATATGTCAAATTTGAGTTGAATGTGTGCAACCGTTACTAAGATAATGAACGGAAACTGATGATGACGGAATAACAGAATGACGGAATGACGGAAGGACGGAATGACGGAATGACGGAAGGACGGAATGACGGAAGGACGGAAGGACGGAACAGGGTAACACTATATGCCCCGGCCATTACATGGCGGGGGCATAAAAACAACTACAATATTACAATAAACCTTAAACACTTAAACATTTTAATGAAAGTACAGAACACAACTATTATTTATTTTTTTAATAACTTACTTTAAAAGTACTGTTTTAAACACAATTAAAAGGTTAATTTTTATTTACCTTTTTTGATTTTGTAGCATCTTTATCAAAGTTGATATCAAAAAGACTGGATACCGAACTTCTATCTGAATGGGCCTCGCTGTCTAATCCATTGCTTGTTAACTCCCCTCTTTCCTTCTACAGAAAACAAAATCATATTATGTAAAATAGTATAACTTATTCAGAAAGTCTGTATCACATAAAAAACAGAAAATAGAAACATTCTTTACGACTACGCTTAAAATATTGAGAAAGTATCGTCTATAAATTACCATCGTTCTTGTATATACTGTTTCCAAACGTCTCACTAAAGACCTATCTTACATTACATAAAATGTGTCATCCTTGAGAATTTATGGATCAATAACAGTCAGTTATAACAGCAAGTTAAATAATGTCTTGAATCATGCCATCATTACTTTGAAACTCTGCTGTAAGACTGGTTTAAAACGGATTTCCTTAACCCTAACCAAGATAAATATTTTAAATGGACTTTCTTCAAATTTTGCTATACAGTACAACTGTATTTTAATTACACATTATTTTTACATACAAAGCTATCTTCTTTAGGTGAAAACTGCTCATATGAGCCGCGCCATGACAAAACCAACATAATTCGTTTGCGAACAGCATGGATCCAGACCAGCCCGCACAGTCTGATCAGGATCTATGCTGTTCGCTTATAAAACCTATAACAAGTAGAGAAAATGATAGCGAACAGCATGGATCCTGATCAGACTGCTCGGATGTGCAGGCTGGTCTGGATCCATGCTGGTCGCAAACGCATTATGTTGGTTTTGTAATGGCACGGTTTAGTTATGTTCTCAATCCATTATAACAACATTATAATACAGAGACATGTTTTCCCTTTCTGCAGAGAAAAAAATTATTCATTTCTATGGCTGAATGAGCCTTTAAACTTGCCTTGATATGGGCATGGAGTTTGGTTGAGTTTAGAAAGAAACTAAACCGGTGCATAGCTCTAAAGATTGTTCCTTTTTTCTCAATGAAACAATGTTACCATAATCTTTATTAATTTTACTGTAGAATTATGAACAGTTTAGTTTACTGAAATTCATTTTATTGTGACTGAATAAATAATAAACTACCAGGAATAAAAGAATATTTTGAGTTTTAATTTCAAAAAAATGATGAGTGAATGAGAACGTTTTTATCTTGGAATTTTTCTATACGTATAACACTAAAATCTTTTGAATCATACCTTTTTTGCATATTTCTCCAGCATAGATGGTGAGAGAATTGAAGTAGACTGGACCAGAGATAACGGTATGGCCGGCTGCTTCACCAGTTTACGAGGCCGGCCACGCCCTCCTTGTGCTGCACTCCTGCGGCCCCGGGATGAGGTACTTGTGTGACTAGAACCTGCGGTGCCACTAGAGGTGGTAGTTTTGGACATTGAGGTAGGACTGCTTGTCAAGCCCAGTGCGCTCCCAAACATTCCATATTTTGCTGAAATAGGCAACAAAAATTAAAATCATCAGTGCCACTTTAAACACTAGTTCAATCAAACAAATTTTAGCTTGTTAATAATTATGGCATATTTTCATCTTCATGTCACATAACATTACGTAAAGGTAAATATTTCATAGCTTGTTAATGTTAAACTACATATGTATATGTTTCCTTGTTAATAATGGGATTAATCTGTTTATTTTGTTGTAAGATCTCTTTGCTGTTCTTTTTTTTTCTTCATATTCTCTAACATTAAAACTAACAAAGCTATAAATGAAACAGAAATACATGTATGTCCTTAAAAAAAACAAGGAGTTCTAAAGTTATTAACAAAGGGCCATAACTCATCAAATATAATTTAGTGGTGGCGTGGCCGAGTGGTTAACACGATAGACTAGTAATCTCAGGATTGCTGACCGCGTGGGTTCAAACCCCTTCAAAGGCAAGCTATTGTTTCCCTGAGCAAGAAACCACACACACATTGCTTAGTACTGGTTGGTTCCAGGAATGGATTTGAGTGTTTCAAAAAGCCTATAGCTCCGAACACAATCAGCTAAACTACATTGGTATTATATAAACTAAATAAATATAATTTAAATAAGAGCAAAGAATAACATGAGTATGTACAACCAGGCCTGATTGATTGAAATTAATATACGATAATTGTACGTTAAGTAACCCAGGTAAAGGTTAGAGATATTATTAGTAAAATAACAACAACAACAACACAGAATGATGATCATTAGGTGATTAATGCAGGTATGTACAAACTTAGAAACAGACATGCAACAGGAGGATACCATTGTACTTAAGCCATTTGTCTACTTGTTACTAGATGATTTACACTTAAATTAGACTGCATTATAATTGTTGATAGCGAATAACATTGAAATTATAAATATTTATCAGTTTAAAGTTGAAATTAAAAGAAGTTAATTCATTATCCCTAAATTCTAGATCTTTATCAAATTTAATACATTTCTGCATTTTTAATTCTTCAATGATTTTGTAAACCTTTGAAATAAGAAGCAATGAATTAAGAGCTTTTAAAATATTTCAAACATGTTTTACCAATAACAATAAAGGTAGTGATAATATCAAATGACTCAACTTAATCTATACAGATAAAATTTCACTGGCGTTAGAAATAAATATCATCTTTAAATGTGAAGAGTCATGGCAAAGAAAACTGAAGTCATGTTAAATGGACAAATTGTTTAAAAATATTCATTGCAACATTCCAAATGACGTATCAAATTACAAATTTTGCACCAAAAAATTGAAATTTGCACTAAGGTTATAATTATTCACATCAGCTTAGCAAATGAAGGTGAGGTACAATGGTTTTGACCCTTGGTAACTTGCTTTGCAGTTTTAAAATCATCTTTCCTGTTTCTGGGCCTAATATAACCTGCATGTTCCTGCAGGCTCAGGGTTTATATTAAAGGGGAGTTGAAAACTAATGATTTTTAAGGTCATATCTGTCATTAATGTATGTATTGGTTAATATAATGAAGTGTTAAAATCACACCCAAACACAGACATTATTTCATCTTAACAGATAATGTCCACACATTAATATATAATAACTATATTATAACTAGGACCTTATTTCAGAAACAACATATAACCTGATCACCTTACCTATTGCACACATAAAATAGAATATACAAAAGCACTTTCATTTATAGAACTGCAAAATTAATTCAAGCTGAAAGCTTCTATAAATAATCACTACAAAGCCTAGAATAGAACAGTGGTGAACCCGCGCGACTTTTGGGCAAAGTGCACAGCAGTAAATACTAAAACAGGCCAGATTTATTTTGCGAATATCTCTGTTTATACAGAATGGATTTTCTCCAAATAAAGTGCCTAAACTCCTACATAAAAAGCACTTCCCTTTTCAGCTTTGCTATTAGGCAAAGCCTCTGTCTGATTTTTCATAATCTTTTCCAACCGATGCCAAGGATGAATCTAAATATGTGCTGTTTTTAGCATTTTCTACGATGCACATTGTCCAACAGTCACATGATTTTGCAACCCAAAATACTGGAAACAAAACTGCATTGTCTTGGCCACAAGTATAAAGTGACAGGCCAGCCTGACCATCAGTGCAGACTGAGTGGAGGCCCTATACTATTGACTGACAAATTTTCAAAAATTTTCATCTTGAAATCCCTAAAATTTACATTGGAATATTTCAAAATGGAAGTTGATCAAGTCCATTCATAAAATATAGGGTTAAGGGTAAATCAGGTTAGAATTGTAATTACAGTTGCGATCATTTTGGTATATAACACAATTTGTTCTACTGTAATGAAATTTTCACTTAGATTCAGCACCAATTGTCACCGTACTACATGTATATGTATCATAAAGATATTTATAAAATGCAAGCAAGACTTTGTTTTGATGATGAAAACTGCAGAAATTATCTAAAAAAATTGTTTTTATTGTGGTTTTAAGTCTTACCACAAAATATTTGATACCTGAATAACAGGTAATCTATCTTCACAAATAATGCCATCTTTGTTGATAATATGTTCATAATTTTTTTCCTTAACCCATTGCTTCATGAGCATTTTGTGAAAAATGGCTGTTTTCATTGAAAAGTCTCCCGTTACAAGTTCAAATTGCTATAATACTATAAAAACTGCTTCAACACTAATCAAACTTGGCACAAATGTTGACTGGACCATTGTCCTTGCAACAACATGCTCAGACTTAAATTTTCTGTTACCATGGCAACGAGGGGACATCTCAAAATTGCCAAAAATCACTATTTTGCGTTGATTTTTTCCATCAAAATTGATTTCAAAGTGCTGCAACTTATCAATGGATTGAGATAGAGTCAAATGCTTTTCAGCGTTGGTTACACGTTACCTTATGATCAATCTGGGGTCATTTACAGCCTCTCACAAGTCCAAAATTTTCTTGGCGATGAGGGGGACTCCGCCCCCCTTCAAACCCCCCAAAACAGAAGGGGGCACATCCCCCTTCTGGCAACCCCCTGATGTATCTTTTGGTTGGGGGGCCGCGCCGAAAAAGAGGTCAATTTTTTTAACAACATTTCTCAAACAAAAACAAGTGTTTGGGGCCTAAATAAGGCATTTTTTCATCATTTGAGACAACAAAAAGGGGGGGGGGGGTGAAAAAGGCGTTAAAAGGCGTGTATATGAAGTAATGGGTTAACTGAAAATGATGAAAATACTTGAAATTACCCTAAATCGCGTTTTTTCATGTTTAAACATGGCCTGTCATATAAATTTGAAGAAAAATTGTTGTTTTGTAGATTTTTTTATTTTTTTCATTAACCCATTGCTTCATGAGCATTTTGTGAAAAATGGCTGTTTTCATTGAAAAGTCTCCCGTTACAAGTTCAAATTGCTATAATACTATAAAAACTGCTTCAACACTAATCAAACTTGGCACAAATGTTGACTGGACCATTGTCCTTGCAACAACATGCTCAGACTTAAATTTTCTGTTACCATGGCAACGAGGGGACATCTCAAAATTGCCAAAAATCACTATTTTGCGTTGATTTTTTCCATCAAAATTGATTTCAAAGTGCTGCAACTTATCAATGGATTGAGATAGAGTCAAATGCTTTTCAGCGTTGGTTACACGTTACCTTATGATCAATCTGGGGTCATTTACAGCCTCTCACAAGTCCACAATTTTCTTGGCGATGAGGGGGACTCCGCCCCCCTTCAAACCCCCCAAACAGAAGGGGGCACATCCCCCTTCTGGCAACCCCCTGATGTATCTTTTGGTTGGGGAGCCGCGCCGAAAAAGACGTCACTTTTTTTAACAACATTTCTCAAACAAAAACAAGTGTTTGGGGCCTAAATAAGGCATTTTTTCATCATTTGAGACAATAAAAAGGGGGGGGGGGTGAAAAAGGCGTTAAAAGGCGTGTATATGAAGTAATGGGTTAACAGAAAATGATGAAAATACTTGAAATTACCCTAAATCGCGTTTTTTCATGTTTAAACATGGCCTATCATATAAATTTGAAGAAAAATTGTTGTTTTGTAGATTTTTTTATTTTTTTCATTAACCCATTACTTCATGAGCATTTTGTGAAAAATGGCTGTTTTCATTGAAAAGTCTCCCGTTACAAGTTCAAATTGCTATAATACTATAAAAACTGCTTCAACACTAATCAAACTTGGCACAAATGTTGACTGGACCATTGTCCTTGCAACAACATGCTCAGACTTAAATTTCTGTTACCATGGCAACGAGGGGACATCTCAAAATTGCCAAAAAATCACTATTTTGCGTTGATTTTTTCCATCAAAATTGATTTCAAAGTGCTGCAACTTATCAATGGATTGAGATAGAGTCAAATGCTTTTCAGCGTTGGTTACACGTTACCTTATGATCAATCTGGGGTCATTTACAGCCTCTCACAAGTCCAAAATTTTCTTGGCGATGAGGGGGACTCCGCCCCCCTTCAAACCCCCCAAAACAGAAGGGGGCACATCCCCCTTCTGGCAACCCCCTGATGTATCTTTTGGTTGGGGGGCCGCGCCGAAAAAGAGGTCAATTTTTTTAACAACATTTCTCAAACAAAAACAAGTGTTTGGGGCCTAAATAAGGCATTTTTTCATCATTTGAGACAACAACAAGAACTGTCGGAGGACAGTAACGCTCGACTATTCGAAAATTTGTCACAAGGGTGTTTCATTGATTATAATAATGCTTACCTATATGAATACATAAAATTGTCCGAAAAGGTACAAACCCTTCAAGTTTCAATACATTCCCTTCAGTAGTTATGGAGATACAAGCTTACACACAAAAACTTAACCAAGAATTTATGAATCGAAAAAGGGGCATTATTATGCGAAAAAGAAAATCCGAGTTATGGGACTTGTGCCAATCATCTTAGATAATCACAGACAACAAGAGTGTTAAGTTTCAATCCATTCCCTTCAGTAGTTATGGAGATACCAGCTTACACGCAAAAAATTAACCAAGAATTTCTAAGTCCAAAAAGGGGCATAATTATGTTAAAAAGCAAATCAGACTGATGGGACTTGTGTCAATCATCTTAGATAATCACAGGGAACAAGTGTGTGAAGTTTCAATCCATTTCCTTCAGTAGTTATGGAGATACCAGCTTACACGCAAAAACTTAACCAAGAATTTCTAAGTCGAAAAAGGGACACACATATGCAATAAAAGCAAACCAGAGTTATGAGACTTGTGCAAATCAAGTTAGATAATCATAAAGAATAAATGTGTGAAGTTTCAATCCGTTCCCATCAGCAGTTATTGGAGATACCAGCTTACACGCAAAAACTTAACCAATTATGTAAAAAAGCAAATCAGAGTTATGGACTTGTACCAATCATCTAAGAATAATCACAGTGAACAAGTGTGTGAAGTTTCAATCCATTCCCTTCAGTAGTTATGGAGATACCAGCTTACATACAAAAACTTAACCACAAATTTCTAAGTCGAAAAGGGGCATAATTATGTAAAAAAGCAAATCAGAGTTATGGGACTTGTGCCAATCATCTTAGATAATCACAGAGAACAAGTGTGTGAAGTTTCAATCCATTCCCTTCAGTAGTTATGGAGATACCAACTTACATACAAAAACTTAACCACGAATTTCTAAGTCGAAAAAGGGGCATAATTATGAAAAAAAGCAAATCAGAGTTATGGGACTTGTGCCAATCATCTTAGATAATCACAGAGAACAAGTGTGTGAAGTTTCAATCCATTCCCTTCAGTAGTTATGGAGAAACCAGCTTACATACAAAAACTTAACCACAGGGACGCCGACGCCGACGCCGACGCCGACGCCGACAAATGGGTGACTGCATTAGCTCGATTATTCTGCGAATAGTCGAGCTAAAAAGGGGGGGGGGGTGAAAAAGGCGTTAAAAGGCGTGTATATGAAGTAATGGGTTAATTAAACCACTAAAGTACACTATGTTCAACAGCATTGTAGTCTGGAAAATTTTTAGTATTATTAGCCATAAGTTTGGACAATCTATTGTACTTTTGGCCTAAGAATGGACAATCTACTGTACTTTTGCCATAGATTTGGACAAACTATAGTACTTTCATCGTAAATTTTGACAATCAACTGTCCTTAATTCATAACTTTTGAAATCTACTGCATTTACTTTATCTAGCATGTGGATATTATTCTACATTTTTAAGCATGAATTTATATCTACAGATTTTAAGTGTGGTTTTAAAGCTGCAGTTTGAAGCATGGATTTATATCTACAGTTTTTAAGCATGGATTTATATCTACAGGTTTTAAGCGTGAATTTATATCTACAGTTTGTAAGCGTGGATTTATATCTACAGTTTGTAAGTGTGAATTTATATCTACAGTTTTTAAGCGTGGATTTATATCTACAGTTTTTAGGCATGGATTTATATCTACAATTTATAATATTTGTTCATATATATGTGTAAACTTCCATATTCAAATATATAAAGATACAGAAAATACATAAACAAAAAGTAATTTCAACTACAATGGTATATTGTGAATGATTCTGCAAAACCTAAGACCTATAAAAATGATCTTAACACAATCATATGAAATATCACAATAAAGAAGGCAAAATAATAATTTGGGTTTAAAGAATGACAGAAAAAAAATACAGAAATAAAAAGCTATCATAAATTCACACAAAAAATATATACTGCTGACATTAAAATCTTACAGTTTTCAGAACTTGCACTTGTTGGCTTCATTAGAGATAAAGGGTCAGATATTGGGCCACCTTGACCCATGGACAGTAGTAGGGGGCTCAATATTGAATCAAAGCTTAGAGAGGGTCCTGAAAAAATAACAATTCAAGAATGTATTTTAGAAATTTATATCTAAAACAAACCTTGCATAAGTTATCAACTTAATATATCAATTCTATAATTTTTTTTTTTTTTAATTATTTTTTTTTTTTTTGTACTCTTAATATTATAACAAGGTCAGAAATAGAATCACTGTATCATTTATTGTACTTAAATCTATAAATTATGATTCAATGTGTATGGTTTATTGCGAGCACAGGCACATGTTACTTCACACATGTTTCATTAATTGCAAGTTAATTTAATACTCAACTTCTTCAATTCTTCCGAGTGCTTTTACCCAATTTGTTAACATCTTATACTGGTATATATAAATTTCTTTATACAGCAAATCTATTGCATTTACTTCTTAAAAAGTATTCAGTATTGCATTGCCTTCTTCAAAACGAACATTTCTGTACTTATTATGTTGGAATCAAATTCCTTTTTGCATATTTAAGAAAAAAAATTTTAAAGGGAGATTACTCTTTTAGGCTTAATTGATATCTCTTACATCCCTTTTTCTAAAAATAGACTCCTCCACTATATATATTATTCATGTTGTTTATATGAACAAATAATCCTGATTAAAACAATATGGGTGAATTTTACATTCATGCATTAATCATGGGAAGTTAATTCAAGACTCTAAAAAGCTATTGAAATGTTACATCAGGACGTTTTTTGGTTATTTATAACTTACAATAGTGAATACATTTGTATTTTCAGTACAATGAAATAATATTATTATTATTGAAATATTTGAAATTTTACAATTGTTTTTATTTTATGCACTCTCCAACTCATTTCTGTCTCAATTAGCTTATTAATTGTTTGGTAAAATGCCAACTTGATAATGAAATTTAAAGTAATTATTGTCCAAAAGTATTAACAGTTAGCAAAGTTAATGAAAAATATCTTTAAAATTTTTAATTAAATAGGGAAACTAGAAATGTGTCCATAGGACACTGATGCCCCCACACGCCACTGTTCTGTCAATCTTATGACTCTAGGTCAAATATTTTTTGGACTACATGTGCCACAAGTTGAAAACTAAAAATCAACAAAGGGCCATAATTCTCTTAAATTTGGTCGCAGCAAAAAATCCTTCCTTTACTACGATCTACACATTAAGGTTGTTAATCCCTGGAAGTTTAAGCAAAATCTACCATCCGATTTAAGAGGAGTTGCGTTCACAAAATTTCTACATTGTATAAAGTGAAAAAATCAACAAAGGGCCATAATTCTGTTAAATTTGGTCGCAGCAAAAATTCCTTCCTTTACTGCCATCTACACCTTAAGGTTGTTCATCCCTGGAAGTTTAAGCAAAATCTGCCATCCGGTTTAAGAGGAGTTGTGTTCACAAAATTTCTACATAGTATAGAGTGAAAAAATCAACAAAGGGCCATAATTCTCTTAAATTTGGTCGCAGCAAAAATTCCTTCCTTTACTAGCATCTACACATTAAGGTTGTTCATCCCTGTAAGTTTAAGCAAAATCTGCCATCCGGTTTAAGAGGAGTTGCGTTCACAAAATTTCTACATAGTATAGAGTGAAAAAATCAACAAAGGGCCATAATTCTGTTAAATTTGGTCACAGCAAAAATTCCTTCCTTTACTGCCATCTACACATTAAGGTTGTTCATCCCTGGAAGTTTAAGCAAAATCTGCCATCCGGTTTAAGAGGAGTTGCATTCACAAAATTTCTACATAGTATATAGTGAAAAAAATCAACAAAGGGCCATAATTCTGTAAAATTTAGTCACAGCGAAAATTCTTTCCTTTACTACCATCTACACATTAAGGTTGTTCATCCCTGTAAGTTTAAGCAAAATCTGCCATCCGGTTTAAGAGGAGTTGCGTTCACAAACATTTCTATATAGTATCTAGTGAAAAAATCAACAAAGGGCCATAATTCTGTTAAATTTGGTCGCAGCAAAAATTCCTTCCTTTATTACCATCTACACATTAAGGTTGTTCATCCCTGTAAGTTTAAGCAAAATCTGCCATGCGGTTTAAGAGGAGTTGCGTTCACAAGATTTCGGGACGGACTGACGGACTGACGGACGGACTGATGGACGGACGGACAAGTGCAACGCTATATGCTCCCACATTGTGGGGGCATAAAAATTATCATTTTTCAAGGAAGCATTGCCAAAGAGGTTCATCCTCACCAAACCAAATAACCCACTCTGACTTCAGAACTATTAGGCATTTTGACATCAAAATCAAAACAGTAAACTGACATGTAGATAGGCAACATCAAGTATTGAGTACGGTCAGACAGCATAATTATAGGTGGCCTAACTGTATATTATACAGGCAGGCAGTTTACATCTGGCATAAACGGTACCGCAGAGTCCATGGTATTATAAGGATCGTACTTCTTAAGTTTGTTCAAGATATCATTCCTTCACTAAACCTTAAGTGATTAAGAGACCAAGGTTGCTGGATTTTATACACTTTATTTATAAAATGTTGTTTAATGTTTGCAGAGGGATAGTTTATTTCTTCTTTTTTTCAAGTTGATTTTTTGTCCTTTTTTTCCCCAAAAAAATATGACCATTAACAAAATACCTGATTTTACAACCAAATATTAGATTTTTAATCATTTTTACATGTACATATCAAACTGACCCAGTCACTCATTTTAACATGCCAGAGAAATGATTGTGTTACATTATATTAATATGTTAGTGCTATTATTAAAACAATTTATTTACATGATGGATTACAAGAAATTAGAAGACTAGATGATTAGAATATAGACATAATTAAATATTAACAATCCTTACCAGAAAAGTAAAGTGTTATAAAAAGAAAGAATTACTTTTTATTCACTAAAATCATTGCATACATTAATTCCTAGTGCTGTCATTGATTCAGTGCAAAGCATATTGGCAATACATCCATATTCGATGACAAATATCAGCGATATATCGATAATTATTCCTAATTTCTTGTCTATAATTTATGTTAATACCTGTTCCTAAATTTCTACTTAGTAATGTTAATATTAACTTCCGACCTTTACGTCATTATCTATATTTAGAAAATTTTACCTGATGTTGGACTGAGGCTGCTTGAAAGGGATGATGGGATACCCAAAGGACTTGTGAGACCATCTCCAAGACGACCAAATAACGATGAAACTGGAAATGCTGGATGACCAAGCATGGAGAATGCCCCAGGCAGGTGTGCTAGGTGGGCAAATGGCAATGCTGACATCCCTGCTGCAAATGGAGAAGCCCCTGTACAGAAAGAAGAAAAAAGATAAACACACAAAATTCAAGATAAACTATAAAATGTGTAGTCAAATGTTTCTCTGTCATGAAATAATAATGTATGGTATTTTTATGAAGGCAGCCTTTCATAATGTAATCAAATTTTATGACTTTTTATCTTCTACATCAGAACATTTTACATTATAATATGTCAAACAATTAAATCTTTATCAAAACCTATCTGTTGACCTTCAAATATTATTCTCTCCATGTGTAACTGTTTTGTTTTTTGTCTTTTTACATGTTGTACAAAATGGTGGTTTGAATAAATAAAATTCTTCATTGTTTTAACATTTATGATCCTAAAACTTGTTTGATGGACTTTACTCTTCTTTGCATTTTGAATAATTCATTTATAATTTTAGAGATTTTAAAAACTGAACACAAAAATAAACTGATCTATTCTCCTGACAAGTAACTAACAGATCAAGATGGAGGCATTAGAGGGTCATGATCGTGTCTTCACCTCTAAATTATGATTAGATTTTAACTAATCAAAATCATCCTCAAAAAGTTTTTTATGTATTCTGAATGCCAACTGTTTCATGTTTTACAACTTTACCTAAAAGTGTAGTGGGGTCAAACAGGTTTGAACCTGGAACAGACGACGCCTTCGCCGGATCAAACATGCTGGATCCCGACACGGGAGATGTCTTCTCTTTCTGCTCCATTCGTTCATCTGTCTATCTCAAACATGTGAACATTGATACTGAAAATAGATAGAATATACATTTAGCTATACTTTATTATCATAAGTTCAACCATAACACTGCCAAAAAATTGGTATGAAGAATTTGCCTTGCTTTGAAGTGACTTACTCGGTAAATTAAGAATATTTTGAGTTTTTCTAGCTCATGCAGGGGTACAAACAAACAATTGCACTTACAACTTTGAAAATCAGCACAAAAGATTTACTTACCTATTGTGAACGGTAGGGAAGCAAGAAGCTATAACGGTAACTGTTTGTCTGTACCAGGGGACTAGCCCAGATAAAGCCACATTTGTCAACTTCCGGATAACATCTATTTGGAATCGTTCAACATAATTATAAGGGTTTTTTTTATAAAGATATAGCTATGGATATGTCAAACTTGCAGTGCAAAGGTATTTTATAGCTCACATATTTAATCATCTATATCTCCTTCAAGGACTTAACTTAACCAGAGGTTTTGAAAATCTGAAAGTCGAATCCCTAACTTCCATTGGTACAGGGACTGGCCAGAGTCACCAATGTACTGGTGCACTTTTGTTTACATTTAAGTTCAACTACATTATAATTATATAATATTAAATTATCGTTGTTTCATATCATCACCAAGCTACTACAACAAACATATTCAGAAAAACAGCGAAATCTTTACACGCTTAAAAAAATCTGGTTTATATAAATAACTTAAAAAGATAAAAACATGTACAAAGGAAATAATGTAAGCAACTTCAGTACATGTCTTCCCTGCTTAAGATTATATACACTTGAAAGTCATGCAAAAAGATTTTAATTCGAAAGTATTTATTTGAGGTTTAAATACACAGATGTCTTATGTATTATAAACGGTACAAAGCATTTAACCTATAAACAAAGTAAAGACTTGATTGTACACACAGAGCTAAATATACATTCGTTAAAAATAATCTCTTTACATATGTATATGATTTTTATCAATGATTCATAATGTGCGACAATAAGATATTTTCAGCTAGAGTAAAATTTTAAAAGAAATATTTTAACTTAAATTTAAATAAAGTTGTTTGGGATTTTATTTTTTTCAGTTGAACAATAAGGGAGTGATCTTCAATTCATATTGATTGACTTAATATTATGGCATGATAAAATTATGTGAAATACGACTTATACGTAATAAAAATTAAAAAAATTATGTAAATGTCATATGACTGTAAATGTATTTTGGATTTTCGACTGAAATCCATTACATAATTATACAGTTACTCAAATACTTTGTTCATTGCTCATACTTAATTTTGGACATCTGTTGCATTTCCTAAAATACTTCAGGAATTTATTCTTATATATTCCAGCCAGTATTTCCTTATGATACATTATGCAGTAACAATAAATAAATCTTAATCACCTGCCTGCATTTATCTATAGAAATTCATTTGCAAATAACAAACTCATACAGAAAACTGAATAAAATATGCATATTGAAATTTCAGTTCCATTCTTTAAGCTTTCTACAGTCAAATTTGACCAAGGGCAGTAACTCTTTTACAAGTTTTGATTTTTTTTGACGACCGAAAGACTGAGCTAGGAAGCTTGATGACTCGCAGAATGTACTGTACATCTGGAGTTAAATATCCGACTGCGTCTTATATGACGATGAGAAACACGCAAATTTACACAACAACACGTCTTTTCAAGTTAAAAAAACTTTTTAATTCATTACATGTTTTCTAATACTAATTGCAGAAAATTTCAGCAAATTTTCAAATCTTAACTGTTGAACGTGTAACAAAATCTGTTTTGAAACAGGCATTCTTTCAGCGAACATAGCGTGATAACTTTAAACTCGTCTGCATTTGGAAAGATTTTATTTCTCTCTCCCAAAGGTTCATTTCTAAACACCCATTATCTTAAACATGTTTATTTCATTTCAAGTTTTGGAATTTATCTTTCCTTAAAAATTCCACAATCTTCGCAATCTAACTGTTGAGATTTTTTTCATACGCGATTTACATCATACTTTTTGGGTTCTCACGTCATATTTGTTATATTTACAATGCTGATATTATATAATGAATTTGATCTTCTTTTTTTTCATTTGAACTATTCAATTCTAAGTAAAAAGGATTTCAAAATCAAAAATAGAGCCACTAACAATATAGAGCCTATCATGGTCACTGCACAGATGTTACTCAAGTGGCAAAGACTAATCACTTTTGATTCCTGGAGGTTATGGGTCTTTTGTTTTTACGGCACACCAACACAATCTAAGTCCTGCGGCGCCAAAACAGGAAAGTTGATTTTGACTTACCTCAGGTGTTACAAAATTACAGCAACACCAGGGGCCAAGCCCAACTCATCTGCTGGAGCTAAGAAATGCACAGACTCCAGTAATATTTGAACCCATTTAGTTGCCTCTTACTATCACTCAAGGATAAACAGTGACTGCAATTCTGATGCCTCAACCCTCAAAGGCAACCCCTCTGCCACAAAGGGAAGGTCAAGGGTTAAAAGATGAATTGGTGGTTTATATGATTTATTATTAAGGCTTCGTTAAAATCTTTTCATGTAAAACAGACAATACTTGTTGATTTATCCTGGAATTTTATCGAACAAAAAGATAGACAATAAAGAGTGATTTGAACCAACTTGAAATATAAACTTTTATTAATTACCTATAATGATAACTGATAAATCAGTAAAATTTATTGAATTGGAAACACTGTGACGGGGATTTAAGCTTGGAAAACCCACATTTACAGAGTTCTCAATATCATCTATCCCCAAAATTGATAATGGGCAGGCCCAAAAAAGAAAAAAAATAGAATCTCAGGACAAGTCCACCAGGTTCTTAGGGGTAAGTTAAAAGCTTTTCTCTGTGTTAATCATTGTGCTTATATATCGAAAGAAGGTCAGCCAATGCAGTGAATAATGCAACTCCCAATGCTGATAACCAAACAATGGGCCTGACATACCAACACAACTAGTTCATGCTATTTCCTAAATTATATATATCTAATATATGTCTGGGGATTGAACCTGCCTTTTTACAATTGAATAATGTCCGATTAAATAAATGAATTTAAAAACCTTATACCACATTACATGTATGTTACAGCAAAAGTCTGAACAAAATATGAGAGCTTTATAATCAAACTAAACAATTTCACGTAAACTGTGAAGATCTTTTTGCTATATCATGCAGACAGTGCAATAATTGTTCTGTAAATCCGAAATCATATGTACAAGATATTCATATTTATAATCACAATAATTATGTGCTATTTTTAGCAACACGCAGACTGGTGTTTTCTATAATATTAAAAGCAAGTGTAGTTACATAACTTCGAGAATATTTAACAGATCAGAGCAGAATTTATTAGGGAAAATTTCTCTGTATTTATGCAGACATCTTTCTGAATATTTCAGTTTTTAGCGTATCAATAATTCATCTAAAGAGTGGATGACTTCCTTTAACAAATACAAAATTCAAGTCAGTCTTACTGACAAAAATGTTTTCATTCTAAGTATCATATAGATTATTAACCTTTCACCTCCCGGATTTTTAAATAGACCAGTCCAGCTTTCATTTTTGGGACAGTCCACTATAAATTTTTGGGGATATCGCAAGTTTGAAACTCAAAAGTCCAGATCAGCCATTTAAGTTAAGAGCCAGGACAGAGTCAGCATGGATGTGCAGGCTGGCCTGGCCCCTATACTGGGTGGCAAACAAATAAAGGCTTAACAATTTCAGTTCTAGCAGGTAGCTAGGATTTACACAACCCTGAGTAACAGCATTTAATTATCTGCAGCAGATAAAATATTTCAAAAAGATTTATGATGTTATCTCAAATCTAAGGAGGGAGAATTGTGAAATATTATGCTAATATTGTTTCAGCTTAAAACTGGCATTTATAATCATTAAATCTATAAATAGATATTAAAGTCACATGACTTTTTAAGTATTATGCAAAACTATCATAAAATACCTTATTCTGGTTATATTAATATATGAATTTAAGCTTAGAGCAGAAAAAAAGTTAAAAAATATAAGAATTGCTCTATATTTATTATAACTATTATAATAATGATTGCAGCGATATTATGTGCATCCAGGAGTAAATGGTCAGTCAGAACATGTAAATAATACAAATAACATAATTGTTTTTACTACGAAAAAATAATCAAAAATGATGAACTGAAATTTTCTATAAATATTATACAGAATGCATCAGTAACGCTCAATTCTTAAAAAGCTTAGGGCATTTTTATTTATGATTTTGGTGGTTTTAATAGTTTATCAGTAACAATTTTTATTATCAATAATATTGGTCAATCACAACTCTAACATCAAATCTTTTGGAAAAAATTAATTATTCAACTCATTTTGACAGCGAAAAAAAAATTTAGCATAATAACACCTTAAGTGTGCATGTAAACATATAATTGACTTCAAAATTTCTGTATCAACAAAAACTTTAATTAATACAGCATCACCAATAATATCAATTACAGTGATGTAACATACAAAATCTTAATACTTAAACAAATAGCGGGAAAAAAAACAACAAAGTTCAGAAACAAAGAAACGTGACTGAGCAAAAAAAAAAAACAACAACGAACATTGATAAAGAGTCTGTAGTGATAATGCTTAAACAGTGATCAATTTATATGGGAGAAAATCGTGTGACATTGTCGCTATATCTTCAAGAGAATAGCGAATATTTGCTGTCAATCTATAGGAAATATAAGAATGATTCAAGCATACAAGCTATAGACATGGTTTTCTATTGATTATACCAATTCTACACTTTTATATTTGAGCCGTGTCACGACAAAACCAACATAATGGGTTTGCGACCAGCATGGATCCAGACCAGCCTGCGCATCGGCGCAGTCTGATCAGGATCCATGCTGTTCGCTTACCAATCCTATTACAAGTAGAGAAACTGACAGCGAACAGCATGGATCCTGATCAGACTGCGCGGATGCGCAGGCTGGTCTGGATCCATGCTGGTCGCAAACCC